AAAAGGAGCAGAACACTAGCTAAAAAGGTAAAAAAGGAGCAGAACACTAGCTAAAAAGGTAAGGAGCAGAACACTAGCTCAAAGGTAAAAAGAGCAGAACACTAGCTAAAAATTTAAAAATAGCAAAACCCTAGCTAAAAATTTAAAAATAGCAAAACCCTAGCTAAAAGGTAAAAAAGGAGCAAAATTCTAGGTAAAAAAGAAGCAGAACCCTAGCTAAAAGGAAAAATAGCAAAACCCTAGCTAAAAAGGTAAAAAAGGAAAATACTAGTTAAAATGGTAAAAAAAGAAAAGGAGCAGAACCCTAGCTCAAAGGTAAAAAGAGCAGAACACTAGCTAAAAATGTAAAAATGGCAAAACCCTAGCTAAAAAGGTAAAAAAAAGAGCAGAACATTAGCTAAAAATAAAAAAAGGAGCTGAACACTAGCAAAAAGCTTAAAAATATGACAGTTACAAGCTAAAAGTAGCAAAACACTCCTTAAAAATTAAATGTAGCCAAAAAAGTTACGTAAAGGGAACAGTTTACAAGCTAAAAGTAGCATAGCACAAGCTGCAAGTATCAAAACAGTCCCTAAAAATTTAATGCATCCAAAAAGTTATGCAAAGGGAATAGTATAAAAGACCTCAAGACGAAAAGGAGCAACAACGTAGCTAAAAACAGTAAAAAAGTAGTAAAAGTCTAGTTAAATGTATCAAACTAGTATATCATTAATTAAAGCTAAGAGATACAAAAAGCTAACTGAAACTATCAGAAGGCTAGCTAGAAGCTAAAAGTAGACACTAGCTACAATAGGCCAAAGGCTAGCTTAAAGCATCAAAAGGCTAGCTAGAAGCTAAACACAGAAAAAGCCTAATTAAAAGCTATACTTAACTAAAGCCCAACTAAAATCTAAAATTACCAAATCAGCTAAAAACTAATAGAAGCAAAAAGCTAGGTAAAACTATCAGAAGGCTAGCTAGAAGCTAAAAGTAGCAGGAAAAAAAGTAAGCTGAGGGACATTTTAACAAAAACAACGTTTTAAGGAGTTAAAGAAATTGTGTCTTTTTATGGAGAAGGTGTTTGTAAATAATGTTCTGAAAAGTATATAAGTCATAAAACCTAAAGGTCAGCAGGTATCTCCTGAATGAGCCAAACGTTTCGGCATGTACAAAAAGAGGAAAACATTATTGTGAACGCTGGTTTAACATCGACAACCTTCTTCTTGTATCTTTAAAACTTTTCGTTAGATTAAATACTGCTCATTTAGTCTGTGCCCCGTGTCAGAAGACGAGCTTCGCCCTCGGAGGGGAAAGGTCAGACAGAAAGAGGAGGGACATCGCCTCCGCCAGACGCAAGTCCAGACCATTTCTGTCGTTTATCATCACCCTCTAATATCTGCTGCTGCGAGAGTCTGTGGGGGAGGAACACTTAACAGATGAGAACTTCATCTCATCTGAGCGCACGATAAAAACACTTATGTCAAAATAAAACACAGCCTGCCTGAGCTGGGGGGAGTTTACAGGTGTGTAATAATTCGATGTTGCACTTGTTTTGTCAGATTTCTCACCGTCTCTCCAGATTTTTAAAGATTAGAAAAACAAAAACCAGCACGAGAACATGGGTTCTGACCTTGATGTGTCTGTTCATGGCGGTGGACTGCGCAGCCCTGACCAGACCCTCCAGCTCTGCACCGCTGTAGTTCTTCGTCTCCACGGCGAGCTCCTTGATGTCCACGTCGCCCGACAGCAGGTCGTGTTGGCGCATCTTGGCCGTGTGGATGTTGAGGATCTGAACGCGCCCCTTTTCATCCGGTAACCCTGAAGAAAGAACGGGAAAAAAAAAACGTTATTCTACCAAACTCAACTTCGTTTTAGATTTATCTCGTGGCTTCTAAAAAAGGCTCAAAGTTAAAAAACGTCAGTGGCTAATATCTAAAATTAGCCAAACCACAACTAAAAGCTAATTGTTGTAAAACTGTAGATAAAAGCTAAAATTTGGGAACTGCCTTCCTAATATTAAAACTTGCAACATCGTAGGTGCGAGCTAAATGGGGCAAAACCTCACATAACTTAAAGAGCTGGACTGTAGCTAAAACTTCATTGTTGCTAAAAGCTAATGGTAGCAAAACTGTCATTAAAAGTTAAAATGAGCCAAAAGATAAAAAAAAAAGCTTCAATTAGCAAAAGCATGGGAAAAAACTAGACTTAGCAAAACTGTAGCTAAAAGCCCAATGTAGCTAAACAGTAGCTAAAAGCTAAGTGCAGCATGACTAACTAAAAGCTAAATATAGCAAAGCAGCAACTAAAAACTGATTGCAGTCAAACTGTTGTTAAAAGCTAAAATTAGCATAACTATAATTAAAAGCCATAATTAGCAATACTATAGCTATAAGCTAATCGTAGCAAAACTGTCAATAACAGCTTGAGTTAGCAAAAACACATAAAAGCTTAAATTAGCAAATGCATGGGTAAAAACTAGACTTAGCTAAACAGTAGCTAAAAGATAAATGCAGCAAGACTAAAAGCTAATTAAAAGAAAATTTGTTGCTAAAGGCTAATTGGGGTGGTGGTGGCGCAGAGGTTAGAAGATGGGCCTGCGATCGGAAAGTCGCAGGTTCAACTCCCGGTAGCGTCAACATCAAAATGTGGGTGGAAAAGGTGGAACACCCACACCTGTCTCCACCCTCATTCGCCCCACCCTGGGCCCCTGAGCAAGGCCCTTAACCCCCGCCATCTGCTCCTACACAGGTCTCTCTTGAAAATGAGTTCTCTGGCTCAATGAGACTACCTGGATAAATAAAGGCTAAATGAAAACAAAAAAAGCCATAATTAGCAATACTGTAGCTATAAGCTAAGTGTAGCAAAACTGTCAATAAAAGCTTAAATGAGCAAAAACAAAAAGCTTCAATTAGCAAAACATGGGTAAAAACTAGACTTAGCTAAACAGTAGCTAAAAGCTAAATGGAGCATGACTAAAACCTAATTAAAGTAAATTTGTTATTAAGGCTAAAATTAGCATAACTGTAGTTAACAGCCACAATTAGCAACATGGTAGCTATAAGCTAATTGTAGCAAAACTGTCAATCTAAGCTTAAATTATCAAAAACAAATAAAAGCTTCAGTTATCAAAAGCATGGGTAAAAACTAGACTTAAAAGCCTAACATAGCTAAATGGTAGCTAAAAGCTAAATGCATCATGATTAACTAAAAGCTAATTGAAATCAAACTGTTGTTGAAGGCTAAAATTAGCATAACTGTAGTTAAAAGACAATTAGCAATACTGTAGCTATAAGCTAATTGTAGCAGAACTGTCAATAAAAGCTTCAATTAGCAAAAACAAATAAAGGCTTCAATTAACAAAAGCATAAATAAAAACTAGACTTAGCTAAACAGTAGCTAAAAGCTAAATGCAGCATGACAAAGGTAATTAAAGTAAAATTGTTGCTAAAGGGAAAAATTAGCATAACTGTAGTTAAAAGCCATAATTAGCAACACTAGCTATAAGCTAAATGTAGCAAAGTCATAACTATAAGCTAATTGTAGCAAAACCGTCAATGGAAGCTTAAATTAGCAAAAAACATAGCTAAAATTAACACAATTATAAGTAAAAGCTACAATTAGTAAAACTGTAGGGAAAAGTTAATGTCGGCAAGTTGTAACTAGTAGCTAAATTGTAGCTAAAAATTAAAAAGAGCATAAGAAAACAAAAATAATATACGCTAAAGTAGATTTCAGAAAAAAACAATTGGGGGAAAACCTTCACAAGCTATGTGTATTTTTATATAAATCTTTGAAAACAAAGTTAAATGTTTCAAAAAGTACAAAAGTTACAAATACTAAAACCCACAGCATCGAGCTGAACATTGGGATCTATTTAAAACTAAAGCACAAAATATGCAGAAGCAGTCGGATTACAAACAAACGACATAAAAGCTTTTGCAAGATTAAGATTTGAGCAGCAAGAAAAACAAAAAGCCGGTATTTGAACTTTTTCGGTTGTCCAGCGCGACGACAGCCGAGGGCTTTCTGCGCTTCAGACTGGAATTTAACTGTTAATGTCTGAAAACAGCAACAGATGAAACGGTTCTTTTTTCTTTAACGCTAAACTCAAAACACTCGTTTGTAACCGAAGCAAAAGTACCTCCATCTAACAACGTGCTTACATTACCTTGGATTAGAATATTCAAATAATTACTTTAGCTCGTCGTGTTATGGTTTATTTGAGATGAATCTTCATTCCGGCTCAGTGACATCAAGCGCTTGGAGTAAAGAGTGTTGTTCTTACCGATCTCCATCTTCACCTCCAGCCTTCCTGGCCTCAGCAAGGCCTCATCGATCAGGTCGGGCCTGTTGGTCATGCCTGAAGGAAGCAGGAAGAGGAAGAGGATGAACAGCGGCGATGAGATGAAGGGCAGATGTTCAGATTTATGCTGCTTTATATAAACCCAGACAGAATGTGCGTGGTTTCACCGATGACCAGGATGTTGTTGAGCTGCTCCACTCCGTCTATCTTGGACAGCAGCTGGTTGACCACCGTGTCGTGGACGCCGGTGCTGCCCGCCATGCTGCCGCGCTGCTTGCAGATCGCGTCGATCTCGTCCAATATGATGATGTGTAGGCCGCTGTTGGCGCCGAGCTGCACGCCGCACACACAAGAGGAGGACGACTGTGAACGAGCTGCTGGCTTAGAACATGTGCAGCCACGAGCAGGGAGGTCTTCTCCACCCACAAACACAACGTTTACATCAGAACCACGATTTTAAAAAGTGCCAATGTGGAGAAGTTTCAGACGCACTGCAAAGACGCAACGTTCATCAAAAACACAAAGTGGAAAGAGTCTCTTAAGGTCTGCAGCCGTTTTGATCAAAGAGCCACTTCTGCTGCTTCACTCGTTAAACAAAACAACGGTCATGATCAACTGGTGGCTCATGGGCCACTCCGAGTTAGCAGGAGGGGGCTTTTCTGACCGCTGGGCGTGACAATTTAAAACTTGTAATCAATAATTAATTTAAATATTTATTCATAATTTTACATTTTGGGACAAAAAGTAAATCTATGATGTAAAGTAAAAACTTCTAGTTTCTACCTTTAGATGAAAATTAGGGATGCACGACACTAGATTTTTGGCCGATTGCCAATCTTAAAACTTATTTGGTCAATAACCGATACGAACATTTTTTTTCTTAGACCTACTTGCAGACACTACACAGATTTCTCCACTGTGGAATTAAAATACTACTTTATTCTACATAGTTTTTGTCAGATTAGCCTGCTAACAAGTGCAGATGCTAAAAAGAGGGCTGAAAATGATGTAACACTATATAAATGTATAATATATATATTAAAAAATACAGCCTTTTATATTGGCGAGTTATTTTGATGGCATGGCCAATGTCCGATATTTAACTTTATCGCTAATATCGACCGATACCGATAATATCGTGCATCCCTAATGAAAATGAAAACGGTGAACTCTGCAGGCCTATGTGGTCTTTTCTGTGAGGAGGAATCAAGTATCACACTTTGAAGCATTAAAGCAAAAAAATAAAAAATAAAAAATAGTAGTGTCACTCAAATATTTGCAGAAAATTGGCAAAAAAAACTGCCCAATGTAGCCAAACCCAGAACAATTAAATGTCCATCAAGTTTTGAGGGACTAAAGAGCTTCATGTGGCCCCAGAGCCACAGGTGCAGACCCCTGTTTAAGACCTTATCATGTGTATTCTGGTTTTGAGGTGAAAGATTATAAAAAACAAAAAGTTTTAAAAAGATAAATCCATCCAGGTGTGACTGTGGAGTAAGAGCGCTCAGGTAAGTGCTCCTTTAGCTCTTCATACAGTCCTCATTATCGGAACGCCGTCATCGACTCCACAACTTATTTCAGAAATTAATGGAAATGTGAACATTTCTTAACGTCAGCTTTTTTTGAATCAGAGGTACAAAGTTAAAGACTCAAAAAGACAATGATTAAATTTTTGTTTTTTTACTTACAAGCTGTAATTTCAAAAAAGAAACTGAAAAAAGAAAACGTCTCCGTCACAGAAATCACATTTGTTGACCTACTTTTAGCCACTTCGGCTGTTTCCGTAAATAAACAAACACTCTCTGGCTTCTGGTCACAAGTTTGGTTTAAATTTTTTTATTTATTTATGAACACGTGACCCCGTGAATATGAAAAAAATAAAATAAATCAGATAAGTTCCAATAAAAGGCTTCAGTTTCTCTGTGAGCTTTCTGTCATTTATTTAAAGGTTGTTTTCGATTTGTTGATTCAACTTCTTCCTTTTAATTTGTGCCGTTTTGATTTAACTCCAATAGAAAATGCAGAAAACTGTGACTTGTACAGTGGCTCAAACAATAATCCTAACACACTCACGGGGGTCCAGAGAAGAGCTACAGAAATACAATTTACTTTAAAAGTGATCGACAATCTTTACATAATTTTCAAGTCCTGCGACTTAAACGCCAAAGCAACTTATTTATGAATTTTTCCCCATATTTATAAACTAATTTTAGCTGATATGACAGTTTTCGTTCATTCTGGCTGAAAATATTTAACACTTTTTATTTTTTCCCCTCTCTGTACTCCGGTGAAGTCAGACGCGTTTCCCGGCGCTCCGTGCTGTTGTGCCATGTAATAGGTAAAAGTGGCGATTAATGACGCAGTCGGCTTGCCATACAATGCCACTGCCTGGAGCAACCGAATCAGCTTCATTTTTGCTGCGTCGCTCCGGCGAAATGCAGCTCATCTGACCATTAAAGTGAATTTATTAAGGAAAAGTTAGACTGAGACACACCTTTACTATAATTTTGAGCAAACAAATAATTGTTTTTAAGCGTTAAACTTGTTAAATTGTTGTTAAAGTCCTCCCGTGCACGCTCCCGCCATTTGACAGCCCATCAGTTTTTGGCACAACACCGGCCCTCATTTCCTGGTTGTCAGTGGTGACACATAATATGTGCAACATAATTATGTCTTTTTCCACATTGTTAGACATATTGGGACTGATGCGACTTATAGGGCGGTGCAGAAAATACGGTATTTAAAGTATGGCAAGACTTTTAGTTAAATGGCGTATTCTTGAGCAACAATCAGGGCCACAGGTCATTATCTTTCCATCTTCAGAGCCGTCAGCTCTGACGTAGCATTTAATGCAGGTGTGGGGCTGCGTGTGTGTTTAGTGTGTGTGAGGCCTAATAAAAGGTCAAGGAGAGCCCAGCCCCTCATTAGGTGGTGCAGAGTGAGGCCCGGCGCTCGCGTCGCCTCGTTTAAAACAACAATCTGCTGCTTTTTCATCTCGTCGCTCCACAAACACGCTGCAGAACTTAAAAACCTTATTACAGCTGCATCTGGATAAAGGACAGATCTCTCCACTACTGAGGACATTAGCCCCCCCCCCGCTGATGAAACACTGATCTTTCTCATAAAGAATGGGGAAGACGGTCCTGAATACATTTTGTGACAGCTCCATTAGTTTGTTCATCAGCTGCATCTCTGTTTTGGTGGGGAAGCACCTGGAATGAAAAGGGGTTGTTAAACTCCTCTCACCCTCTTCTGCTCCTCTTCTGCGTCAGCGAACAGCTTCCTGACGTTGGCCTCCGACTCGCCCACGTACTTGTTGAGAATCTCGGGGCCGTTGACGATCTTCGGCTCCCGGGCCTTCAGCATTTTGCCAATCTGTCGCGCCATGAGGGTTTTACCGCAGCCCGGAGGTCCAAACAGCAGGATCCCCTTCACGTGCTTACAGCCTGGAGACAAACACAGTTAAGAGAACGCATAATAAATAAATGCTTGAAATACAGTGAAGTTTAAGCATTTATTTCTGTTAAATTTGATGATTATAATCTACAGCTATCCCATAAATATTTGAATAGAACAGAATAGAATATATTATAAAAAAATGTTGATATTTATGGGTAAATTTACACATTAGAACAAAGAAATAAAACAAGTTTTTGTTTATAAAATATAAACACTGAATTATTTATGAGGCCTACCCTTTTTATATTTGTGGAAAAACATATTCTAATAAATAAAATGAATAAAAAACATAATATGCCACTTTGTTGGATAATTATTTGTGATTTAATTAATTTCTTCTAAAAAGGTAAAATCTTCATTTACGTCAACGTTTTAAATCTCAAAGTTTTTCAGAATGACTTTAGTAAAAAGCTTTTATATTAATCCACGTGCAAAAGTGCATTTAGCTTCTCTCCTCTCAGCAACTTAAAACGTGTTAAAGATGCTCGAACGCTTTGGTGGTTTCATAAAACAATTAACACAATTTGGATTAAACAAAATCTGCTGGCACAAACTGGTCCGCAGGATCTGCTCCTTGTATCGTTAGTAGCATTTTTCCTATTTGTGTAAAAGTGATCAGGAAAATGCGTCGTGCCATTCAACCCCTCGTGTTGCAGCACGATAATGCACGGCCCCATGTTGCAAGGACGTGCACGTCGCCCATTGCTCGGGATGCTCTGGATCGGCAAACATGACCAGAGCTCCAGTTCCTGACAATATCCAGCAACTTCTCAGGCGTTGAAGAGGAGTGGACCAACGTCCCACAGGCCTCAGTCAACCACCTGATCAGCTCTATGAAGGAGATGTGGTGGTCACACTAGATCCAAACTGGTTTTCTGACCCCCCCCAGGACTCCCACAATACAACACGTGTGGTTTTTTCTTGTGGTCAGTCTAACCTGTGCCATAATCATGCTGTCTAATCAGCATCTTGATGCACCACACCTGTGAGGCGGATGGATTATGTCGGCAGCGGAGAAGTTCTCGCCAACACAGATTTACGAACATTATTTGAGAGAAAAAGGCTTTTTGTGTATGTAGAAAAAGTCTTTGATCTTTGAGTTCAGCTCATGAAAAAATGTTGCGTTTAGATTTTTGTTCAGCGTATTTAAAGTCCAAGTGTGTGAAGACGGAGTTTTCCACTTAACCCTGTTCTAAGTGCGGCTCGTTTTGAGGCCTTTTGCACCTGTTTGGTGACATTTAGCCCAGACTAATTGCGAAGCCCCAGATAAGCATCTGAGATGCCATTTAGTGCTGCTGAGGGAAGAGCAGCCGGGCCGACAGGTGGGAGACTGAGGGAGAAGAAGGCCTGGCTTCTTCAGTGAGGCGGGGTTCTTCGGTGTTGGTGGTTCGGGAGACGAAGCACTGACGCTTCTGTCTTCTTTCACCTTTCTGGGAGCAAAGGGGAGACAAGGTGAAACTTTTCCTCCAACAAACACACACGTCTCTGTCACCACCTGCCGCTCTGTGCCTACCAATTAAAACTTTACCCTTAGCGGGGTGCTCTATCAGGGCACGCCATCTCATTAGGACGGCCAGCTGGCTGCAGCCAAAGGCCAACTCCTGCACACGACCACCCGACTAAAGGTCAGCTCACGCGCTGCAGGACGCCAAAGCACGGAGTCGGTACGAGCTTCAAGTGTAGTGCAAAGCTCCGAGGTCCTAACAACAGGTTTTCACAAGACTTGTGGGTCTGGGAGCAAGGATTAGGACAGACGTGACTGTGTGCAGATGTGGGAAGGAAGGGTTCTGTAGATGAGTCACAAAGAGGTCTACATGGTGGTTTTCATTAGAACAAGCTGCTGAGCTTTGGGAACCGAATCATCGTGTAATCCGACAGCCGTCAAAGGTTTATTAATGCGTGTGCAGAGGTTTCTGTCAGGGGTTTAATCACGGGTCGGGGCGCACAGAAAGGACACGGGTTGACCGTTTGATCGCTGCCAGTTTTGCTCATTCAGAAGGTGCAACAATCCTCGGAGGAGTTATTTAGTTTGCCCTCATGTTGATTCGATGATTAAACACCAAGTGAATATAATAACTGTAAGCACACGAGTTATATTTTGAAGGTACAAACCTGAGATCACTGGGAGACGAGCACCAATTCTGCAATAACAATCGTCTTTTCTGCTCGTTTTGTGAAGAAACCACGAGCTGCATCAAATTACACCAGATTATTGTGATATTTTGGCTGGGGATTATTAGATTTTGCACATTTATCTGATTAATTAACTTGTAAATGGCACTAAGGAAACTACGGATCTTGCTAATAGGACATTAAGCTATTTTGGCAAGTGCTTTCCACATTGAACATATAGGGGTGAGCTTCCCAAATCTCTACGTATCTTTTTTGGGTTTTAGTGAATTCGTCTCAAAGGAGTGCAGAAAAAACCCTCGATAAATCCCGTGCTTCATAAAATGAGACACTTCTCTGCTTGGTTTGGGTTTTAAAACCAAGAACTGCTGTTTTTATGAGCAATGTTTTGCTGACATCTACTGTACATCAACGTTATGAGGAGAAAAAAAAAGACAGAAAAGATGCAGTCTATTAATCACATCTGTTCACGGTTTGATCTTAGGTCTTGCTGCCTTCTAAGTGATCCAGACAAGACCGCTGATGTTCTGCTTTACTGATAAGCTTTGATCAAATGAGCACTCTGGCAGTTTAAGGTTAGATTCTACTGCTTGGATCTGTCTCAATCCTGGGACGTTCTGCTTAACATCTCATTTATAATATGCATCCATCCATCTTTCCATTATCTTTACCCGCTTCTTCCTGTTTGGGTCATGGGGATCACTGGTGCCCATATCCAGCAGTCACTGTGCAAGAGGCAAGGGACACCCTGGACGGGTCTCCAGTCCATCACAGGGACAAATGAGACAAACAACCATTCACTCTCTCACTCACACCTAGAGATAATTTAGAGTTACCAGTCAGACTAACATGCATAATAAATGAACAGAAATCAACAAACTGGGTCTTCAAGTTTGGATTATTATTTTTTTGACATAACATGGCGTCAGAGGCGGGATTCCTCGTGTGGTTCTTGCCATGCTCACAGCAGACTGAGGCCTACCCTACAAAACAAAAATGTTGTGAGGGCCTCAACAGACAGGAATCCTGCACCTACCAGGTGAAGAGGTGTGAGGTGAGACGCTTCAGTCTGATCGACAAAACGAGCAGCTGGGAGTTTATCGATTTTGGGGCACATGCGGGTTAAAACGGACACATCTGGACATGATGAATGTTGGACTTGAGGCTGCACAAAGCGACATAGCTCAGGTGTAGGAGGGGGACTTTGAATTAATTTCTGGTAGTTTGAATGCCTCCCATCGCTGCTGCTCACTAAAGGTCAGATTCTATGGCAAAGGGGAATTTGGGTGATTGGTTGGTCCTCTCTGCTGCTTTGTGCGCAGACTTTTTATTTTATTTTATTTTAAATCTGGTCAGCTGCTTGATACCTCCTGCTGCAGGAACAGAATATGCTTTTAATTGCGATGGTAGGTTCTAGTACCGGGGTCATATAAAATATAACTCTATATTTATGCTGTTGGAAGCACAAAATTAAAAAAAAGATTTTATGAACTATAGCTGCGTACAGTTTATTTATGGCAGACACGAATGCAGAGGAGGTTCTTCCACCAATTGAAAAAGTTCCTGCAGTCCAAAAAAGTACCTAAAAAGCAGAGGAGGAACCCCTCTCTGCCGTTTCACCTCCATCTTTGAAGTTCTGCATCAGACACAGTTTAAACTCTGCTGGGGTCGTAGTCTTTGCATTCTGAACCCAAAACACTAACTTTTATTCTTTCACACCCCCGTCTCTTATTGGACCTTCAGGTCACAATGACAGTTTTAACAAGTTCTTCTTGACGGAGTTGGACCAAACTGTGCTTCAAAGCAGGGACTTCGAACCTAAATCGGTGCAAAAGATCCCAAAGCTTTTAAAGGTTTTACAACAATTCATTTACACAGATTTGCAGGTAAACGTACTGTTGAAGTGTTTCCAAGAAAGAAAAAAGACGAAAACCTGCTTTTAAAATGAAACTTTTTGGAAACGACGTTAACGAGGCTTCCAGGAAACACCTCACGCAAAACTCTGAGGAAACCATCTGATGTTCAGGTTGAGGTGGAGAAAAACTCCAAATAAATAAATGATGGAAGATCTGAGGAGAAAGAGACCTCACCCATCTGTTCAACGATGTCCGGAGGGAAGACTCGGGAGGCGAACGCTCGGCGGAAGATGTCTGAAAACTCCTTGTCGAGGCCTCCGATCCCCATCTTCTCAAAGTTCCAGTCTGGGCTGATGATGGACTGACGAGCTTCTCGGGTTTTAGATTTCCCTTCAGGGAGAAACAAAAATCTGAGCTGCGTGTAAAAGAGACTGCTCCTGATCATCACAAAAGGACGCAGCACACGTCATTAAAAGTCAAGAAAACACTGAAGTACGTGTAATAAAGTTAAAATGAAAGTGGAAGAACTTTACGGATAGCTGTAATAAAATGCAACATCTCAGGAGGCTCAGGTCAGTGTCTTTCTGCACGCCTGTCAATCAAACATGAAGCTGCAAACCTGCTTTCATTTATGTAGAGCGCTCTCTTGTGGAGACGAACACAATTACTTCAGAGGATTTTAATGTAAAACTTTAGTTTTTTTTATTGTGTGAACACTTTTAAGCATTCACACTATTGTTTTACTGTTTATATTTATTATTCCGACTTCTATCCATATTCCGTAGGTTTTTCAGCGCGATTCTCGTCCCGCAGTTTTTAAGTATAAAATCGTTCAGCTCCTTCAGGAGAATGATGTCATGACTGCTGCTATTGGTGAAACGTTAGCCTTTTTAAATATTTAGCCTTTTATGACACTTTGTTCTCTCATAGAAAATGAATTGAGCTCATTTTACATCCTTCAAAATCTTTAGATCTGTTTACAACCTTTTACTGCTCCTTTCACATTTTGTTCTGTTTCAGCTTCTTTCAGCTTCCTTCTGCAAATGTAAACTTTTTTCAGCTACTTTCAGCTGTTTTGTGCTCCTTTCAGATTATTTCTGCTAACTACAACATTTTGGTGATTCTTCTAATTACTTTATGCTAATTTCAGCTTGTTATGCTCCTTTCTGCAAGTTTCAGCATTTTCTGATATTTTAGCTACTTTTTAGCTGTTGTATGCTAATTTTAGTCTTTTTAGCTAATTCCACATTTTTTGCACTAATTAACTTTTTCAGCCTAATTCAGCAAAACTGTGCTCTCTCAACTTCCTTCTTGTAATTTAAGCTTTTTTCCTGCCTTTTTAGCCAATTTTCAGCTGATGTTTGCTAATTTCAGTTTTTCCACATAATTTCCACTTTTATGTGCTCATGTCTGCTTCTTTCAGCCTAATTGGGCAAAATTGTGCTCTCTCTACTTACTTCAGCTAAATTAATCTAGTTCTACACTTTCAGCTAACTTTTAGCTTTTTTTAAGCTAATTTCAGCCGTTTTCACATAAATTCAATTTGTTTTAGTAATCTGTACTACTTTCAGCCTAATTAACTTATTTCTGTTAATTTCAGCTTGTTTTTCTCCTTTCAGTTTATTTCTGCAAGTTTCAGCCTTTTCTGCTATTTCAGCTACTATTTACTGGTAGCTATTTTGTACTAATTTTAGCCTTTTCAGATAATTCCACATTTTTTTGCACCAATTTCAACCCTTTTCAGCCTAATTCAGCAAAATGTGCTCTCTCCATTCCTTCTGGTAGTTTAAGCTTCTTTCTGCTTTCTCAGCTACTTTTCAGCTGATTTTTTTTTTTAGCTCATTTCAGCTTTTCTCAGATAATTTCAACATTTTTGTGTTAATTTCTGCTTCTTTCAGCCTAATTGGGCAAATGTCTTTCTGCTTTATTCTGCAAATTTAAGCTTGTTCCATCTTTTCAGCATTTTTAGCAAATTGCAGCTGTTTTCAGATAAAATTAGTTTTTCATGGTAATCTTTGGTACTTTCAACACATTAACTTATTCATAGTAATTTCAGCTTGTTCTGCTCCTTTCAGCATTTTTTCTACTAGTTTCAGCTTTTTCTGCTATCTCAGCTACTATTTAGCTATTTTTATGTTAATTTGAGCTTTTTTAGCCAATTCCACATTCTTTTAGATAATTTCAACTCTTTCTGCTTCCTTCTGGTAGTTAAGCTGTTACTGCCTTTTCAGTTACGTTTCAGCCATGTTTAGCTAATTTCAGCTTTTTTTTTTTTTTAGCTAATTTCCTCATTTCTGTGCTCATTTCCACAAAATTAAATCTAATTCAGCAAAAATGTGTTCTTTCTGCATTCTTCTGCTTGTTATTTCATTTCAGCTATAATTCAGCATTTTTTTTTTAGCTAATTTCAGCTGTTTTTCAGGAAGTTCTTCAGCAATAAGCATTTTTGCAGGGAATGCAGTTTCTCTCGTTAAGCAACAAGTATGCTGTGGTTTTATCAGCCGAACGTATCCAGCAAATACAAAGTTTCAGATGATTATTTCAGATTAAGAGTTATTGTTCAGTAAAAGAAAAAACTGCCTCAACGACCAAAACTCACCTGACAATAAAATGGCAGAGTTCTCGGACTTCTCAAAAATCACCTGACTGTTGGCCAGCAACAAACCAACCTGTACACGGAGGAAAGAAAGAACACGATTGCTTCGGCTGATGACAAAACTCAACGGTTCAGACAATAACTGATTTTTATTTGATCGTCTCCGAGGACAAAAAGCACCAAAGGAAAGTGTGTGGAGGTCGTCAGCTGTGAAACCCTTCAGGTACCTTCTTCCTGTAGCCATCAGAGACGGGTTTTCCCTTTAAGATGCCGGCGTCCATGGTTTCGATGTCTTTCACCACAATGTTGAACAGCTTATCGATGAAACTGAACACCAGCTGCAAGAGAGAAAACTGGGTTAGAATTGAAATACGCCCACACGGACATGACTTGAGAGCGTTCAGGAGGACCTGCTGTCCTACGGTGAAGGCCTGGTTGTTGAAGAGCTGCAGGAACTCTTTGGCCATCTTGTCGGAGTCGTAGGGGCTGCTGTCGACGGACTTCTTCTGCAGGAAGTCGATCTCCACCGTCATGTTGCTGATGCAGCCTTTGGACTTGTCGAACTTGTAGTTTGTAACTGCGAGGAGGGAAAAACGCAACGAGGGGAGTTCAGCGCCGGTCATTAAAGGAACAGTCTGGCCATTTTGAAGTGGGGTTTTAATGTGAAGGTTATGAAAAGTTATAGGTCTACGGTTCCTTGAAGAACGTCTCCTTTCATAGTGGCAGGGACCAAAACACCGAACCCAACAAAGCAGCTCGACTCGTGTGCAACCCAGTACTGTTAATGGTTTTAAATAAATGACGCAGGTCTACACGAGACGTCCATTTTAAGAGTCTCTTGCTTTTCAAAGCGACGTCAAAAAGTGTTGAAGGCGAGATGAAGCTTCTTGTTTTTCTGTGGATGTGGATTGTATTTGGACACCCCCACCCCCCACCAGACGAAGACGGTCTGATAAAAGCCCGGATCATTCCTGAACATCACTTCGGCCTCAGGGAGTTCAGGGAAAAGTTTGATCAAAGACGAAGCTCGGAGGTTTTCTGGATGTTGGCCAACCTTTGGGACAGATGTGCAGTGACATCACTCACCTGTATTGTCACGGTGTCCCCCCCACCTGCAGGGTAAGCCACATTCCACAAAGCCTGTGTGTCACTTAAATAAAATCTTTGCCCCGTAGCCACATGTCTATGATTGGAAATCAGATTTATATTTTCAGCAGATAAAAGTACCGTATTTTCCGCCGTATAAGTTGCATCAGTACAAATGTGTCTAATAAGGTGGAAAATCCATAAATACGTTGCATCTGCCATGAGTCACCGCATCGCGTTTGTTACGCGTCACCGCTGACAACCAGGAAATGTGGGATGGTGGTGTGCCAAAAATCGATTGGCTGCCAACTGGTGGCTGCAGGAGCGCGCACGGGAGGACTTTAACAAGAATGTAACACGATTAGCACCTAAAACAATTATTTGTTTGCTCGATTTTTTAGTAAAGTTGTGTCTCAGTTGAACTTTTCCTTAATAAATGCACTTTAATGGTTAAATCAGCTGCATTTCACCGGAGCGGTGCAGCGAAATGAAGCCGATTCGACGGTTGCTCCAGGCGAGCTGGACGAAGGTAGTTATGGCAAGCCGATTGTGTCATTAATATCCACTTTTACCTATTACATGACACAACGGCATGCCATACTGCTTGAGTAGCGGCTGAAAATGGTAGCGTTCAATATTTTCAATGTCAGAATGAATTAAAACGGTCATCTCTCAGCCAAATATTGGTTTATAAATGTGGGAAAAATCCATAGATAAGTCACTTCGGTGTTTACGTCGCAGGGCATATAAATTATGCAAAAAACTGTGACACGGTAGACCTTTTCAAATCAGGCTGAGGAGAACTGTTTGGACTCTTCAAGGTCTGAAAACTATAAAGTCCTGTTTGTCAGAAGACGACAATTTAATGTCCACAAAATTCAGGAGAAGCGGTGTCATCTCCTTAGATTTGACAGTTTTATGAAGTTTCCCTTTAATAAATCTAATAGAGAGACACAATAATACATAGGTTTGTATTCTTTGTTATTCAGTTTCAGTAACATTTAGGGTGAGTCTGAATAGAAAATAAGTGGTGTCGGCTTCCAAAATGAGACAAAAATTAAACATTTATTTTTATAAGATTCAAAAGCAACTCCCACAGTTCAGCCTGCATACAACAGAAATGTGTTTTAGTCCAATTTCAGCTGATTTTTAGAGTTTAGCTGCTCTGTTTCTGGTCAGAAACGTTAAAAATGAGTGATTAGGTTCAGTTTCTGTCACATACTGCCCCCTTGTGGACAGAAAGGTGAAGCGCTGTGTAAAAATACCCTCCGCTCACCTCTGAAGTCATCTCCAAGAACAATGCCTGCCCATTTTCTCTGTAAGCAAAAAGCAAATCGTTAAGTAGTTGTTTAGTAGTTTTCCTAATATTAAAAACATGTTTTGATGCAGAGAATGTTGAAAAAAGAAGAAGCATTTTTCCACAAAACGACCAGACAGAAAACAACAACACGTTTATAAAGATTCCTCTTGAACTGGTCTTATTTTACCAAATTTACTTTTTAAGAACATAAACCATTTAGATCCCAGTTTGATTTTTATTTGTACAAGTTGGTTCTGATAAAGAGGATTGAGAGAGTTTCCATGACCAAGATAAAATAAGACCGTTGTGAGGAGGTTACAGCGGTACCTGTGTCCTGGAGGAGAGCAGGCAGAGAAAAAAGAGCAGCAAAAGACCGACTGAGACAAAGAACGCAAACAGAAACTCATACAGGTCAGTTCATGAGTTCAAGAACCAGAAAATCAACATCAGACGAGTGTTTTTAAGTAAAAAAAAGCCGTTCCATTAAAGCTGAAACGTTTTCAGTAAATCTGTATTTCTGAACAGCAGCAGTCGGACACGCGTACCTGCGGCAGGCTGAAAGCGATGCTGCCGACGCTCACTTCAGGGTGCATCCTCAGCGTGAACACAAACTCGTGTTTGTTGTTGTACACGGCAACGTGTCTGCAGAGGAAAACAAGACAACAAACACAAACCGAATGAGTCCCGAAGAACAAACACACTAAATTAGACGTGTTCATTCTTCAGCTCTGTGGCCGTCACGTGAAAAATAAGTCAAAACGCTAAAATATCAGGAAAAATTATATTTTTTATCCTGGTGACAAACTTCATATATCTTAAAAAATATTCCAGTTTTATTTCTTTCATAGCTTGGGAGTTATGAGGACTTTACATCCAACTACAAAAACTGTTTATTAACATGTTTTGTTCATGATTTTAACACCTTAACATGCATCCTTTTAAGCAAGAAAGCACTTTTTTAATTTCATGCAACAAATTTTTAGAATAAAATCTTAGAATAAGAAATTCTGTTTTGGAAAGATCCTGAAAATATAAAACTATGTGCAGATTCATGGAAAACGGAACCGTTAGCGCCTGGTGTGCGTGTAGAGGATGACATCTTGAACGAGGACGACTCGAAAAGATCATCTGTTGCAGGCGTTCACTCAGCGGTTAGCTCCTCAGAGTTTTATTTAAAACCAGCCGCAGACAGGGCGACGTGTTCAGGAGAAATATCTACTTACTGCTCCAAGTTTGGCTCCTTTTCATTAATGACAACACAGTTGGTCAGAGACAGCTCTTCTGTCGGGCATCGAACCGCCTTCAACGTCTGGAACAAGGAAAGAAATCAACAAACGGTGACTCCACTCACAAAGAATCAACCAGAAACGTGAGATTTAAAGTAAAATAAACAGAAATACTAAAAACACATATTTTAATTTGTTCACTCTGCTGCCTTGTTCAGAAAATCAGTCTTTTACCAATTTGTTAACATATGTAAGATGTGAACTATTTATCTTGCATGATCTGCTAGAGGTAACCCTGACACACAGTCACGGCAAAATGAATAATTATTTCATGTTTTAAATATCCAGCACCTCTGATTTTTAGACTCCGCACCTTAAATCACAAAAACATCTGCATTAGATTTGACAAAAAATATGGACCTAATACTTTGTTGCTTCAGGACATGTAGGAGCTAATGTAGGAACAGAAGATTGATCCATATATACAAGCAATAATACAAAAGAGACACTTCCTACTATGTCTAAGTTACTAATACTATAAAGGAAAGTTTGTTGAACAAAGCACAGTACGTTGCTCGACAAAGTCCATGATCACAAGTCAGAGCTGCAGTTTATGACACCATCAACGTTAATCCCATCAGGTCAACATTTAGATGTGAAAACTGTAAAATATAAACATTTTTAATGTAGGTCTATATAACCTGAACAAACCAGCTGGAATATCAAATAGTATCAATGTTTGTCGCCATCACTTGGCCTATATGGTGGTTACTGTAGGAAATGCTTATTAATTCAGCTGCACACGGAACTACAAACAACTATTCTGAACAAACTTGTTTCAAAGTTCTTATTTTTGTTTAGTTTATTTAAAGCTCTTCATCCAGTCCACCTGCTGAAAGGGACAGACATTTAAAGTGCAACAAAGAGCACAGTTTAAATTTGTGACATGAATAAAACCTTTTCGACACCTAATGTTGAAATGATTAATTCCTAATTATTATAATCAGAACAATGAAGTCATAAAAATAACTGTTGACAAACAGAGTTATTTCCAGCTCAAGCTAAAGTCAAACATCTCACCAGGAAACCAAGACAGTTGTTTACATTTAACATCTTTACGAATTATTTCATGACCATTTCTACACATTTTAGGTCACGAAATTATTTGACAATTCCTTCATTTTGGTGTTTCAGCTCCAACGCACCGGCGTTTCATTTACAGCCATTAGCATCATTTCATTCACAGATTTTAAGTAACCTCTTGGGACGGCACGAGTTGGCACTTTATTGTTAAATAAACACACATTACAGCTTTTAGACATAATTAAAGAAGCGAGGGAAGTGACTGCCAGTGGCAGTGAAGCCGGTCATGAGATTCGTCTTCCGGACTGACTGCTAACTTTTGAACAAGTGATTCTGCGACACTGGCTCGTGAGCTGCTAGCTAACTTTACGTGTCAAAAAAAACTAAAACTTTTCAGATTAAATGCAGGTGTTAAAGTATTTTCCCTTCGTAGTGAAACTGTTCTTGAGGTTCAAATATTTTACACTAAAATAAACTCACCCGTGTGGCCATCTTTGTTATAATCTTTTAACTCCAGTTCGAGAGAAACTGGACATCAGAGTTCCGCAGCAAAACAACGACAGAAATGACAGACGTACCAGGAGGCGGAGTTTGTGTACGTGGCTATACGTCATCACGCACGTTACGCAGAGGAGGTAACGGCCGCTTCCAGATATTGTATGGCAAGCCCTTTTCCTTTTAACATTAAAAGGGCTTGCCATAACAGGTGCTCTTTTTGTAACTTGTACTGTACCTTTAAAGAATATTTAACTTTGCTTACAAATATTTTTCCACAAATATACATTTAAAATTTCTTTAATCAAAAAAACTTATTAAAATCAGCTTGAGTATACAGCTATTTAATAAGCTTTTGAAATTTAGCTAGCTTTTATTTAAACTTGTTGCTATTCTAAGTTTGTTTCAAGCCTTTTGCCATTTTAGAATTTAGCTAAACTTTTGTTGATTCTTAGTGTTTTGCTACCTTTAGCTAGCCTTTTTGAAGAATTTAGCTTCGAGTTCAATTTTTGTTTTGCTTTTAGCTAGCATTTTGCTTCTTTTAACTTTAAGCTTGTATTAGCTTTTTGTTAGCTTTTAGCTTTATTTTGCTACTTTTGACTTCTAGATAGTATTGTTGCTTTTATTTAGCCTTTTAATACTTTTACATTTTAGCTAGTCTTTTCAACTCTTTACCTAGCCTTTTGCTACTCTTAGCATCATACACTTTAGCTTTTAGCTAAACTTTTTCCTGTTTCTAGCTAGTGTTATGCTTCTTTTAGCTTAGCCCTTTGCTGCATGTAGGTATTCAGCTACACTGAGCTAGTATTTTGCTACTTTTGTATTAGTGTGTTAGAATTTTGCTACTTCATCTTTTAGCTGGCGTTCTTATTTTAGCTGCAACAACTCAGTTTCGGCTTCTTCAGCAGCCAGTTAGCATTCACTCTCCATTTTTGCTGAACACTGAACTTCTCCCGTTCTTAAACGGTCTTCTTTGTTAAATCAGTAAAAGTGAAATTAAATTAAATAAGGTTTAAAACACTGTGAATCAAACTGCTTTCATATTAATCACATTAGACTAAAAGGCAAAAATAAGCATTTGGTCAAACGATAAGCTTATAGTGGCCGAGGGGAAAATAAACCTTTACCATACATCATGCAGCTTTACATCATTTAATGAAAAATATTTTGTCTCAAATTTTCTCCACAACAAATTTAACATGTCCAGGGGCAAGTACGTCTCCTTTTGAACTCTTAAAATGAACATCTTCATTTTATTATTCTAACACAAAAAGATGAATACATTGGCAGCTTCGGCTTTTGGAATAGCTCATTTTTGTTTTTAAAACTTCTGTAGTTTTACACTTCAGGTGGAAATAAAAATCCAAAACAGTTCAAATGAATTTTCACGTGAAGCCGTTTAAAAAGACCAAAAGAAAGACGCTCTATTGACCAAGTGGAGTGAACTCCGTACTATTCTCATCCACTTCGCAACAGCAGGGTTATCTCATCAGAGACGACACAAAATCTTTAAAATACAAAATATTTATTCTTTTGAAAATGTCTTCTGTAAGAGAAAAATAAAACCCAAATCAAACCAATACAAATCGTTTGGTTACTGGCAGACCACGCTAGGAACTACCAACGAAGAAGTGTTCACTCGGGAAAACTCAGACGCTAGGAGGCAACGAAAACGCCTCCACCTCCGCCCGGCGGTTTCACATTGCACCCAAACACCGAGGCAAGCGCCAAAAAACGTGGCACTGGTGGTGAAATGACATACCGTCTATAAATTTACAAAAAGCAGGAGGGGGAGCCAGACGTGTGGCAATCTTATTTCCCCTAAAACAAAAAGCACGAAAACCAGAAACCAAAGCTTTTAACGCGTCTGAAAGACGGCGGGGACTCAAATGTTGGCATCGATACGGTGGAGGGGGAATAAAGTAAGAAGCGAGAGGGAGCTCTTTGACCAAAACTTACCATCCCAAAGAGAATCCCCTTTCCAAAAACCATGTGAAGGGGAGGCCACAGAGGTCAACGTTGCACATTTGAGGTTGCGACGGCCAGGACCGACCTGACAGCAGACAGAAACTCAGACGTATTCCTAAACCTAACGTTCTTGTGGTTGTACAATATTCCCTGATGGCCTGATTTGGCCGCTGAGTGTTTTACAGAATCCTGTACTGAGATATAAAAAACAAACAAAAGAAAATAAACAGAAGTAATGAGACTGTCCGTTCAGGGAAGTGTGATGGAGAGTCCGGCTTGTTGCTCCCCCCCCCCAACTTTAAAAATGTTACACATGCTGGTTGAAACACACGGTTTCTTCCTCTCGCAGCCGTGGCATTCTGCTCTGAGGATTGAAAAGAGAAGAATCATTTACAGGAGAAGAAAAACAAGATAAATGGTGTTTTTCTTATTATTCTTGACATCTCCTCACCTATGTCAGCTTCTTGGCTTTGTTGTAAAGCGAGTCCACGACTTTGCTCATGTTCTGGATCGTTTCCAAAGCTGCTTCGTACGTTTTGTCCGCCGGGGGCTCTTCGAATATGATTAAAACGCCTTCACCTTGGTCGAGGATTCCTGGAGAACCCACAAAACTGCATTAAAACACAGACCTGCCTCCAACACAGCAGGCATATCCACTGGGAATAAACCAGTTACCATGGAACTTTTTGTCCAGAATCATCTGGGATAATTTCCTCTCCACTTCATTCTTAAAAAAAAAAACAAAAGAACAAGTAAAGTTGGTCAATTCTCCAACAATCTTTAAACCAAAACTGCATTTGCTGAAACTTACCTTTGATAGCTTGATAAGATCTGATATGTGTTTAATCTGAAATCAGATTAAAAGTCAAAAACAGGTGTGGATCAATAATGTCCTGACAGAAACGTGAATTATACCATAAAATCCTAAAGTCGACTCAGATTATAGATACAACCGCCCTGGATTACCTCTTCAAACGTCCTAAACCAGTACCAGTGTTGGTATTAAATGTAAATTGTAGACAAAAGGTAAAATGTTGTGGCGGTCTCACCTGCACTCTGGAAAACGGTTCGATGACTCTGATGAGGTTCTGCTCCAGCAGGCTGTCGTACAGCTTGGCCAGGTGAATGTTGATGATCGGATCGTTCCTCAGTTCAGCTTTGTACTCTGTGAGGGCCTGAAACGCACAAAGGTTGAACAGATACTTGAAGATGCTAAAACATTGGAAGCTAATAACGAAACCTTCCAGTCAGGAGGTAAAAATCATTTTGTCAGTGACACCTCAAGCTGTAGACGTCGCAAAGTAAGAAAAAAAAAACACATTTTTTTATGTTATAGTTTTATTACCATAATTTCCGGACTATAAGCTGCTACTTTTGTCACAGGTTTTGAACCCCGCGGTTCAAGCAATGCTGCGGCTAATTTATGATATTTCTTTTTTTGGACGGGCTAACGAGCTTCATGCCACCAAAACATTTATCCTTGTAACACCCGTGCGCTCACATTGCTGCACAATACATGTCTGGGTTCTCATGACGCAAAGAAACTACATGTATGAATAAAAGGTAAAACAAAAACTGATCAGAGAGCGGGTCCACTGGTTTCATTTCTCGATCATCCAGACATGATTTTTAGCTACGGTTTCATTTCTTTTATCTTAAACGGCTCAGTTTCAGCTTCTTCACCACGTGTCTCTCGGCTCCGAGCGTTCACACTGCACTTTCTCTGGTTATACTGGGACCATTGCTGAACGTCGCAACAAACCAGACAGACCAGAATGAAAGGTGCGTTCATAACGAGGAGTCATAACGTCAGATTTCAAAGCTCTAAGACGATTCTTACCTTTTCGAAGTCTGCTAACGATCTGTTCTTGCTGGCCTGGGCAACACATTTCAGTGCATCCGTCTAAAAACACAAAGACCGAAAACATTTAAATGTCGACACTTTAAGCTGTGCTGGTAAAATACGAGTTCACTTTTCACTACAGTTTTGAAAAGTACAAATGAAGTTAAATAAAATGTGCTAAAGCTCCAAAGGTTAGATAAGGTGTTTGTGATCAGAAGGTTGCTGGTTCAACCGCCACAGACTGACATCAAAGATGAGTGGGAAAGGTGAAGCACCCACACCTGCCTCGGCCCTCATTTGCCCCTCTCTCTGGACCCTTGAGCAAGGCCCCTAAACCCCAGCTGCTCTCCACACATGTGCCTTAGATGGCAGCCCTCTGCTCCACGCATGCGATGGGAAATACAGAGAATTAATTTCCGGATCGGGGAGTCTTATTATTGACTTGCCTGTCGGCCGGCGTATCGCAGGCCCAGTTTACCACTGATCAGAGCTTGAACCTCCTCTGGTCTGAAACAAAAACAATAAGTAAGTCCATGTGTAGACTCTGGTTTCTGCACAGAAGTTTTACTTACGAGCTGAGCACAATTTTGCACAGAAGCATGTATTTGAGAGCCGTGATGGCTCTGGGGCTGTCGATGGAGTCGTAACCTTCAAAGGCCTCGAAGAAGTAGGAGTAGGCCGTCTTCCAGTCCTTCTCCTCTGCTGCATGGATGATCCCTGCAGCAGACACAGGTTAGCACATGAAGCCACCGAACTCTGCGAGGCTGATGACACCGTGCTTCGAACCAGTAAACCAACTGAATGCGAGATAATTATCAGGGTTAGCATGAACCCCCTCTGACCTGACTGCATGTCCAGTGCTGCCTGGAGCTTTGGTGGACAGTAGATGGCGTTGGCGGTGGTTCTGGCTGAGGTGAGGGCGGCGCGGGCCTTGGGCAGGTTACTGAGAGCGTGGTACGTCTTGCTTTCCAGCAGCTGAACCTCCACAAGAAGAGCTTTGTCGTCCATCTTTTTCAGCTCCTGGAGCAGCTGAGAGCCTGAGGAAAGAGAAAAGCGTTAACGTTAACACGACACGTTGCAGGAAAAGTAAAGTTACAATCTTTATCCTAATATGTGCGTTTTGATCTTGTTTTAATCTGCTGTTCGTTAGAATAATACATTTATTTAAATAGAACAAGACCACAAGAGTTCTACTGAAGAGAATAAACTTCCTCGTGCATAGTATATATATTATGACGTCATCAGTATGTTGACGGGCTGCACTGAAATGTAATTTCTTTGTGCTTCGGTGCAACGACAATAAAGCTGATTCTGAAAGCCGTGCTGGAAAATATATGAGGACCAACAAGAAATAAAGATTTCTAAAAAAAGTCAAAACAAAAGCGGTTGTCTCTGAGCACTCACCGAGAGCCAAGGCCTCCTGGAATCTTTTAGTATCAAAATACAGCGAGATCAGTCGAGCCTGAAATCACAAGAACACGTCAGACAGAAAAAAAAAATCCTGATTTAGAGCAGACGAGCATAAGTTTTGATGCAGTGGGGAGGTCATTACGGTCGTCGTTCATCTTGTGTCTTAATAAAAAGAACAATAATCTGGTTGTAAAGAACATGAGATGGTGCATGGCTCAGTAGGTTCTTCACTCGGCTGCTGAACGCTCCACGAGGTCTTTCCAAAAGAAAATCCTGACGTTTTCTTACAACTCAATAAAAACAGCTTTTAGAGGTTTTACCTGGATTCACTTGATTATTAACAGATAGATCCTAATAAACATGCCATTTTTATTATTTACATGTGTAATCAGTCCAAGGTTGTAAATATTAGAATAGTTTCCGCACCAACTTCAAGAGTCTTTAAATATTTCACTTTTATGGCTCACATGAAACTACGGCTGAACAATTAATTGCATTTTCAATAATATCGCGATACGATAAAACAAGATTTTCTAATCGCGACGGCTGCAATTTGATTGGTCACGTGATCTGGTTACGTGACTTGCGAGTGAGCAGAGCAGGGAGAAGTCCACACTGCGTTTTACTGGTTGCACAGTGGCGTCAGGCTCGACAGAAGCCGACACATCTGACAGTTTGGTACCAAAGAGGAGCAGCACGTCCGGTGTTTGGAATTATTTTGGCTGTAAACAAAAAGACGCTGAGCAACGACATGTGTTGTGCAGAAGCTGCCTTGCTGCTGTTGCTACCTCTCCAGGTAACACCAAACCTTTATCAACACTTCAAAAAACATCACAAAGCCATTTATGATGGTTGCATGTCTAGAATGCCACGAGCGGCGCTCCGACTTCAAGTAAGCAAAGCATCAGCCGACGGGGATCAATGACCAAACTGTTCGAAGGGTTTTTTCTCATTCAACCTTTATTTAAACAGGTAAATCCCATTGAGCCTCAAGAACTCATTTACAAGAGACCACTTAGAGAGGTCGAGAGCTTCAGATCTATCATCTATTACTCCGTATGAACATAGTTCGAAACATCACGTGGAAATAACGAGAATAATGGAACTATTTTCAGTCCGGTCATCGGGACAGTTTCTTTTTTTGCTGAAACGTTTCAACTTCTATCCGGAAGGCTTAGCACCAACATAACTGGTTTGTTCTTTGGAGTAAGCTGTTTGGGGGAACAATCAGTTTTGTTGTGCGTTTCCTTGACTGATGAAGCCTTCTGGATGGAAGGTGAAACGTTTCAGCACAAAAAGAAACTGTCCAGATGACCTGATTGAAAATTGAGCATGGACTTTTTTGAGCAATAATGGAGTTCATAGCAAAAGACAAGATGTCCATTATTATGTTGACCAGGTCTGGGTGTACGGCTTTGGTCAACACAGTGGATTAGCGGTACAGAACGTCCTCGTGCACACATTTTAGCCAAGTTGCTATCCTGGAGCTGCACAAAAAAAAAAATATGCAGAAACAGAGTTGCAGCGGAGCTGAAAAACAACTGAAACAGATTTATTGTTTGTGTTCATAAAAAAAAAAAAAAAACATGAAAAGAAGACATTGAAAAATAATCGCATATTAAATCGCAATATTGAGGTTAAAAAAAATAAATCGCAATTAGAATGTTTTCTCAAATCGTTCAGCCCTACGTGAAACTTTATCTGAAGGAACATCAACCCTGCGATCACCTGTGTAAACTCTACTTAATTTATTTTGCTTCTATTTTAAATGCACTTTTAGGGTCTTACTAGTGCATGTGTGCAGTTACATTAGTTTTTTTTTATTTTACTTTACTCCTATCATCAACATGACAGGCTAAAGATGGAAATTGGCGCCTGTGGCTAAATCTGGCATATTTACAGAGTAAACCCATTTTCATAAATAAACAAATAACTAAATGTTTAGTGGATGAATGCAGGTTTATTACAATGGGTAAAACAATTGATGGGGTGAGTTTGAAATTCGATTCCCAACTAAGTATCATTTTAAAACATTATTCTAATGATTCAGCATGAAAGCTGCTTTAACACTTTTCTTTATTCCAACAGTTTGTGTGAAGGATGTGAAAAGCAGCATTGTTGTCCTCAACAAAACACTGAAGTAAACTTTCCATTTGTTTCAGTCAGTAAACGTGAAGCAGCTGGTCGTGGTGTTCTACCGCAGCACGACAACACCATCGGACAAATCTGCGTTAGGTGGTCTGATACAGTTTACAGATTTGATCCAGTAACGTTTTCAGTTTTGCTTTTTTACCGTGACGCTACAACAGAGGCTTCACCGCTTCACCACTTCAGGCCTGAAACGAAAGCGTCTCCCACTCCGTGAGTCAGAGGGTTTAAGGAAATCGATCTCACCCAAAGCGGAGAGAGCGTTTTTGCTTGTTTCAACCATCATTAGTCAAAGTTTGCGTTGTGTAGCAGCAGAACTGAGTGAGAGAACCAAGACAGCGGCAGAGAGGCAGCTGTGGCTCAGTGGTATTTGAAAAACTGGGAGTGTGATTCCTTGATCTAAATATAGAATTTCTACCAAGAAGTCTCTGAATGTGAATCAAAAAGCAACGTTTTGCTGATCACGTGGCTGAAGTTGTAGTTTATGACCTTCATACCTCCAGAGCTTGTCGTAGGAAGGTTCTCTTCTCTGCCTTGGCCCACTCGATGCATTCGAGACACAACTCCACCTCCTGCCCCGTGGCCGCCTCCATGTCGAGGAAGAGGTCCAGGAGGGAGCGGACGAGTCGGGCCGCCTTGGCTTTACTGATGGAAATCAGGAAAGGCCTGACGAATTTCAACAAGCCTCCAAGTTCTGTAGAAAGAAAATCATATATACATATTTTTATATGCTCTATAGCATATTTCGATGTCTTAACCCTCAATGTTAACTGTAAAAGTGCTAAAATAACATTACTTCTGGTACTTTATCTAAAAACAGTAGTTAACAATGCAAGAGACTATGAAGCATTTTAGATCAAAACGTTACCAGCAGCTTGTCCCGTCTTTGCCAGGAGCGTCCCCAGCTCCAGGATGCTTTGTTCTTTAACCCTGACGGCCTCCTCATCGTTCTCTTGAACATCTCGTCTCACTTTTAATGGAGAAACAAGGAGGGGGGAAATCTTATTTAAAGCCAGGCATTAAGCAATTTTGGAAATATTGTATTACTAGTTAGGTAAACTTGGAAATTTTACTTAACCAGCTTTACATTTCATGTGAACAGTATCTTAAGGGTTATACTTAAAGCAGTTAAAAGGAAAATGTCTATTATTTCCTCCAAAAAAGCTTAAAGTTTTTAGTATATCACTTTATAATGTAGCTGTTTTTGTTTAGTTCTTTCATATAGTTTCTTCTATTTATTTTTCAATGTATATGTTTATTTTATGATTGTCTACTGTTGTCATGATACTTTAATAAAACTGATTTCTCTTGTAAATGAGCCCTCAAGGCTCAATTCGACTAAACTGTATAAAGTTTGATTTGAATTGAATAAAATGCTCCAAAAGCTAACAAAATAAAGTTAGACATTTAGTGGCTTTGTGCTTAAATTAGTAACATGTTTGTAGTTTGTTTGGACTAATAATTTCCTTAATTTTCTTTGGAAACCAAAGTAATTGCTAAAGCCTACCCTACCTGAGATAAATAATGTTACTAATTGAATTTTTATGTGTATGAATGTATCTGTTCAGTGCCTTGAGATAACTTCTGTTGTGACTTGGCGTTATACAAATAAACTGAATTGATTTGAATCAAAGAATCAGAGAGACATTTAACATGATCCGTATTTAACAAGTAAATAAAGTAGAAGTCGAGTCGTTTGGCAGCTGTGACACGGTAAAACTAAGGACAGCGTAGTCTAAATTAACATATTACCTGTATAATTGTGTTTTTATACTAATATACCACAAGTGTGTCATTAAAATCATAAATCATGGCTCTCTACTCACCGAACTGTTTAGATTACAACAGGCTAACGCTAGCCTCAGCATGCTAACATGACAGCTAAACATGAAAACGGCTTAAATAAATGACACAATCCCACAAGACAAAACTAAAATCTCAAAAACAAAACTATTTTAACAAGCAGTAACAAACACATGTCACGTCAGGCCTAAAAGTCGGTGAAGGTGCTAGCAGCTAGCAGGTATTAGCTGCCGTTCAGCACCGCAGTGAGTCAGCACCGCACCGGTTCAGCCCCGCACCAAAACAGAATGAGAAATATATATATATTCTTTAAGGTTCAGATTAATAAAGTCCATCAGAAATGGCAGATTAAAGACCCACCTATTGAATGGAGGATGTCGATAGAGGCGTTGCGGTCCGTGCCGATGAGAGACTGAGCTCTCTGGAACTCAACCACTGCTGCAGCCGCCATCTTCCTTATTCTTCTTCTTCTTCTTCTAGTATTGTTTTATGGCGGTTGGCAGACCAACTGTAAGGTGCATTACCGCCACCTACTGAGCTGGAGTGTGGGCATAAGATATACAGGAGAGAAAAAAAAAAAAAAAAAAAAAAAAAAAAAAAAAAAAAAAAAAAAAAAACCAATAATAATAATAATAGTAATATTAAATAAAATAAAATAAAAATAGATAGATAAATAAATAAACAAAATAAATTAATAATAATATGTAAAATATATAAATAAATAATATTAATAATAATAATAATTCTGTGAAATAACTTCACATCTATATTTCATCTAAATTCTCTCCATTAAATTTGTTTTTTTCAAGAAAATAATAATTTGATCTTTGACTTTACCAGCATCACTACTAAAGATATCATTAATTGTAAATTTTATATTCATTTTAGTTATTTCTTTTTGGAAATGTCTTCTTTCTAATTCATATCCACAACATTCCATAAAAACATGTTTTACTGTTTCAGGGAGATTACAGTTATCACATAACCCCGTGGCATGTTTTCCTATTACTTTAAGAGAGCTATTGAGACCCGTATGTCCTATTCTGATTCGGGTCATTATTGTTTCTACTTTTCTGTTTCTTCCCGTTTTCTTTGTGCCTCCTACCTTTTTCTGAATGTTATACAAATGTCGTCCTGTATCAATTATGTCCCAATTATCCTGCCATATATTCGTAACATATCTATTTATTATCATTTTACACTCAGATTTACTTAATGGAATTTCATAGTTTACATTTTTAGATTTTACTGCCTGTTTAGCAAGAATGTCTGCACCTTCATTGCCTTCCACTCCCACATGTGCTGGAACCCAAACAAAATCTACAGATATTTCCCTCAAGTGAAGTTTATATAGAATGTGGTAAACCCTGTCAATTAGGTCTTGTCTTTCTGATTTACTTGATTTGATGCTTAATAAGACTGCCATATTATCCGATGCAATGACATATTTTTGACCATTATATTTTTCAATCCATTCTAAACCCATGATTATAGCTAATAATTCTACTGTGTATACTGTCAAGTTGTTTGTTGTTCTTTTCTTCATCTCTATATTTAGATTTGGGATGTACACTGCTGCTCCTGTTTGTCCTGATTCTGGATCTTTTGATCCATCTGTAAATACTATAATTTTATCCATATGTTGTTTATGAAAGAATTGTTGCACTAAGAAGTTTTCTGAAATATTTTTCCCTTTATTTTTGATTAATTTATGTAATGATAAATCGACAGAAGGATAAATATATAACCAATGATGGATACACGATTGATTAACTGTTGGACTTAATTCTATTTCATGCAACCCTGCATAGTGAGCTTTGATATTACCTATCCAGCCAAAACTATAAATATTTGTTTTTTGATGTTCCCAACATTCCTGTAATATATTATGAACTGGGTGTGTTTGGTCATGTCCTTTAATATTAATCCAGTATAGTAACATTTGTTTCAATCTTCTTATTCGTAAAGGCATTTCCCCCATTTCAACTTGTAGAGCTGAAACTGGTGATGTTCTAAATGCTCCACTGCATATTCTGAGTACTTTTGATTGTTCTATATCCAGAAGTTTTAAATGAGTTTCTGCTGCTGCCATATAGCTAATGCTGCCATAGTCCATTGTTGATCTCATAAGTGATTGATATATATTTACTAATGCTTCCCTACTTGCTCCCCATTCCCTTCCTGTTAAACAACGCAATAAATTATTAACATTTTTACATTTTATTTTTATTTTTTCTATATGTTGCTTCCATGTAAGTTTTTCATCAAAAATCATGCCTAAAAATCTTATATCCTTAACCTGTTCAAGGTTTTGACCATATAACTTTAAGGAGATAGACTTATGTTTTCTAGAGAAGCAGATAACTTGAGATTTTGTTGTTGAAAGTTTAAAACCCCAGTTATTGGACCATATTTCAACTTCATTGATTGCCTTTTGCATTTTATTTCTGAGATATTCTACATTACGACCACGAATCCATAAAGCTCCATCGTCCGCATATAAAGATTTACTGATTCCATGATCTATTTTATCAAATATGTCATTGATCATTATCAAGAATAATACTGGGCTACAAACACTACCTTGAGGAGTACCATTCTCCACAATATATTTACTTGAAAATTCCTTTCCCACTCGCACTTCTATTGTTCTTTCAAACAAAAAATTACTTATCCAATTAAATAGTTTTCCTTTTACCCCAAGTTTTTCCAGTTTTACTAATAAACCTTCTTTCCAAAGTGTATCATAAGCTTTTTCTATATCGAAAAAGACTGCAATAACTGATTCTTTGTTAGCTTGTGCTTTCCTTATCTCTGACTCGAGGCATAAAATAGAGTCCATTGCGTTTCTCCCTTTCCTGAATCCACTTTGATTTGGTGATAACAGATTATTAAATTCTAAATAACTATATAGCCTTTTAGTTATTATTTTTTCCATTGTTTTCCCCAATTGTGAATTCAAAGCAATGGGTCTATAGTTGGAAGGATTTGAAGGATCTTTACCTGGTTTTAATATTGGTATTATTATTGAATTTTTCCATGAAGTTGGTATTTTACCACTATCCCAAATTAAATTAAACAAAATTAATATTGCTTTAATAGAATTTTCACCCATATGTTTTAACATATCGTAACAAATATTGTCTTTTCCAGGAGATGATTGATTAGTATTACTAAGCGCTCTTTTAAATTCTAATAAAGTAATAGGTAGATCCATCGTCCCTCCATTGACAGTTTTTTTGTTATCTATATTTGGATGGTTTTTTAATATATTGCTCCTCAACTCCCTAACATTTGCTGAAATATTGTCAGAACTATGTATTTTAACCAGTGTTTTAACTAATAATTCTGCTTTATCTAGATCAGTTATTGCAACAGTGTTTTCATTTTTAATTATTGGGATTTCATATTTCCTAGTTATTCCATTCATCTTCTTTATCATCCCCCACACATCTGATAATTTAGTTTCTCTCCCTATGGTAGAGCAATATTTTTGCCAGTATTCTCTTTTTGCTTTTCTTATTGTTCTCCTAACAATTGCTTGTTTCCTTTTATAAAATATTAACTTTTCAATTGTATGCTGAACTTTTAGTTGTTTAAATGCTTTATTCCTTTCTTTAATAGCTTTTTTACAGTCCTCATCCCACCATGGAACATTCTTTTTAATTCTACTTCCTGTACTTTTAGGTATTGCTTTATTTGCATTCTGTATAAGTATTGTTGTTAATTTTTCATTAAATTCTTCAATATCTTTAATATCTTCTCTAATAATTTCTCCACATTTAATTTCAGTCAGATTTTGAAACTTGATCCAGTTTGCTTTATTAAATTGCCACCTAGGTACTCGAAATGTTTTTCCTTTAAGAACATCCAGTCCTATTTTAATGGTTATTGGATAATGATCACTACCAAGTGATGTTTTATTTATTACTTCCCACTGCGTAATTCCTGCAATGTTATTTGAGGTGACTGTTAAATCTATTGCTGTTTCTGTGTTCTTTGTAATATTATATCTGGTCCCTGTTCCATTATTTATGCACACCAGTCTGTTATCATCAATGAATTCCTCTACGTTTCTGCCATTTATGTCTGTGTGATCACTTCCCCAAAGATTATTGTGAGCATTAAAATCTCCACACCAAACAATTTTCCCCTGTTCCTGTCCTCTAACTATATTCAGTGTTTCAATAGTTAATTCTTTACATGGATTATAATAATTAATAATGATCATTTCATCCCTACCTGTCCATATTTTAATAGTAATGTATTCATGCTCTTTTCCTATATGGATTATACTGTAACCTATATTATTTTGTACAAGGATCATTATTCCTCCACCCCTTCCATTACCTCTATCTCTTCTGATGGCAGTGTACCCATGTAAAACAAAATCTAATTCTGGTTTTAACCAGGTTTCCTGAATACAGATGATATGTGGTTTTTCTTGTAGTTGTGATATGTAATGTTTAAAATCTTGACCATTTGAGATGAGACTTCTAGCGTTCCATTGAAATATGTTTATGACCATGTGGAAGTAGCACCTTCTGACTGAGTTGGTGTTACTCCTTTACCTATCATATTTTCTACAGCTTCCCAACCAAGGTCTTTAACATCTAGATATTTTTCTGCAGCCCTCACTATGATTTTAATCTTTTCAGTTTTCTTTACTGTCTGAGCTGAACAATTAATCACTTCCACCATAAACAGCACAAAATCCTTTTTGTTCACTATCATTGAATCATTAGGTATTTTAGAGCATCCATCACAAGTTTTTGGTTTTATATTTGGTGTCACTGTTGGTTTTGGCTTCTCTGGTTGATTTGGGATTCTTTTCACAGCTTCAGCATAAGTTATCCCTTGAGCGAGTTTCACTTTTTGGATTTCCTCTGCTCTTTTACTGTATTGACATCCACGGTAAGCAGAAGTGTGTTCTTCTCCACAGTTACAACATTTAATTTTTGCCTCTTTTTCACATTTCCCATATTCATGTTCACCTGCACATCTTCCACATCGTTGTTTTCCTTTACAGATTGCTGCTACATGTCCAAATTTCTGGCATTTAAAACACCTTAACGGAGGAGGAATGTATTGTTTCACATCATAGCTCATATAGCCTATGTAGACTTTACTTGGTAAACATTCACCTTCAAATTTAATCAAGACTGACAAGCTGTTACATCGTTCTCCATTTCTTGTTGTTTGCAGACGTTTAATTTCTTTCACTTTTGCTCCACGTATGTTTGCTTGAATTTCTTCATTTGAGATTTTTAAAGGGACTCCACTAATGACTCCTCTACCCATTTTTTTGTTTTCAACCAGACTGCTCTGAACTTTCTTTCCTTCCATTTTGTGAATCTTAATTGCCTTTCCTTGTTGAATGCTGTCTCTGCAATGAACAAAAAGTGCTCCGCTTCGTAAAACCTTAGCGCTAAGGACTTCACCTATTAGTTTATTTATTGTTTTGGTTAATTGTATTGGGTTCCATTCACCAAAAGATTCTCCCTCTTGATTTAATTTAATAATAACTTTATACTCATCTTTTGGTTTCTTAGTTACTAGTTCATTTTCCTCATCCTTTTCTGGGTTAGAAATATCTTCAGCTGATGTCTGCTTTTTACGCTTTTTTCTGCTTTTTGAAGCAGCTAACTTACTCCAATCTTCTTCATTTCCGCCACTATTTTCTTCCATTTCATCAAACTCACTTCCTGATCCAGAACTTCCCTCTGCAACCTCCTGCCCATTCACAGCCCAGCCGCTGCCAACCGCCTTACCAAATTGCTGACTCATCTTTTCTCTCTCCGTCATCCATCCGCTCGAAAGAACCTCAGGTTTTTCTCCTCCGAGCCACTGCTCCAGTCCTGTTTCCTCCATCTTCCTTATTCAAAATACTTCAATGAACATAACGTGCCGGGAATACGCTACCGAGCGTGAGTGACGTCACCGTACGTCTCATATGCAGCGTATGGCACTATGGGAAATGTAGTCTTGTGAAGCGAGCGTCTTCATTTCTACTGATATTTTTACGATTAAAATGCAATAATTAGCTTATTTGATGCCACATTATTATTTAGGTTAAATAATTTCGTCTTTTTTTTTTAGTCTCTGATGTATTTTTGTTGTACAAGCTTGTGCAAAAAATAAAAATGAAAAAAATATTTTATTTGTATGGTATTTTTGCTAACTACGTCACACAAATCTCCAAATTTTAAAGTGATCTTGCATAGTCATGAAGTATATAATTTTTTTTTTTTTTTATGGCGAAATTTAAAGTTCGCAACAGTCCAAGTTAACCTAAACTGTCATGGAAGGACAAACTGTTCTTAGGTCTATCCCGTCTGTCAAAATGCAAGAAGAAATAAAAAGTGGACCAAACTGCTCATTGAGGTTTCCTTTATTATAATAAAAGCTCATGACTGAACTGAACTTGAGTGAACAGCCTGAAGAACGTTGAACCTTTTTATTTTAAACTTTAACTATTTGATAAAAGATTTGTCTTAGTTTTCTTGTTTATCAAAGGTAATGTAATGATTGCTCTATTATTATTATTATTATTATTATTATTATTATTATTATTATTATTATTATTATTATTATTATTGTTATTATTATTATTATAAAAGGCCGCCTGGTCTGTGCTTGGGACGAGCAGGTGCGCATGCTCGGTTGCGGTTGTGTCGGCAGGTGGCGCTGTTTCTGCGGGAGGGAGGAGGAAACTGCGGCGCGCGCCTCAGCACCGCCTTTGCGTCAAGCGGTGCTGTCAGAGCCAGAGACACAACATCAGCCTCCGCAGCATCCGCATCTCACAGCCTGCGGGACCAGGAGCGCATCCAGCCCACAGGCGCGGTGAGCGCGCGCCTCCTTCCTCCGCGGCCTCCCTCTTCACCTCCACCTGTTTTCATTTTTCTCCCTCCGACTGGATTTATTTCACAATTTTCCGAGATGGTTTAATGGTTTTAAAGGCGCCTTTTAAGGGACAACGCGATCATTCCCCCCCCCCCCCCCCCTGTGGTGGAGATCTGGTGAGTAGATCTGGATTATTATTCTTGTTTATTTATTTATTTATTTTGCGCATGTTTTTTTGCGCAATTGTTTGGGTCTGGAAACGGTGACATATCTGATAACCTGATCACGTAAATCGAACAAACGGGCCGAATGAACCGTTAAGGCAACACATATTAATGAGGAATACGATATTTATAGTCGTTAAAACAAAGGGTACAGTAATTTCTTTGAAGCCGCCGCCTCTCTGGTCCGGTTCGGCCCGTTTTCAGCACCATGGAGAGCGCAGCCACAGGGCCCAACTGAGGTTCTGACAGGAGGAACAGAGGGTGATGGAATGAAGCTCAGTCCCGGAAGTTCACCATTAAAACATACAAATATTCATTTTATTTCATGTTAAACAATAAAAATGTTCTGGTCCGACCCGCGCCAATGGGCTGTTCACGTTTCTGACGTCCATTTTAGTCATTCTGACTCAATTCCGGATCCATTTCCCGTCATTCCTGCAGCTCAGGTCTTTATTAAAACCCGCTCTGCTCCATGCGCAGATAATTATACACATTTATATTTTTACTTACAAACTGTTCCCATCATCTGCAAGACGGATGATGGGTTTATCCCAGTAGATTACTGGGCCACGTGCCTCTCTGGTGCCTCTCGGTAAAAAAAACATCAAAGATGTTTCAGAAAATGACTGAATTTCTTACTAAACATAAATAAATAAATCCAGATGAAAGAGAGCTGGCGTTTTGTTTACAAACATTTTAAAATACTCATTTTTATCATAAACATGACCATGCAGTACTTATACTACAGGGTACTAACAGAGTGATTACAAGATACATACACAGCACTTATAGGGGTACAAACAAAGTATCTACACAGAATCTACAGGGTATTTATGAGTACACACCACTAGAAGGATATACTGACGTAATTACAATACTGGGTAAATTATAGGTTTACTTGCAACTAATTACAGGGTATGAAGCACTTACTGGGTGGGTAGGTATACTTACAGAGTACTAATATGCAATAAAATTACAGGGTACTTATGGGGTTACTTATTGATTTATTAACAAGGAAGTCACACAGTAACTGTCAGAGTATTTACAAGAGTACATACAGGGTACTTAAGAGGATAAGGTATTTATATGGTGCTAATGAAGTACAGGGTGTGTATTGGGTACTTACAGTGTACTTATTAGGATACATAAGGTACTTGTACTAATAAAGTAATTACAGAATACCTGTCAAGTAAATTGTGTGTTTATTTGCAGACTAATTAGAAGGTACTTGCAGGACAATTACAGGGTACTTACAGTGTACTGGGTACATTATAGAATGCTAACAGATATTTAAATTACAGGGTACTTATGGGGTTACGTACAACTGATTTCAGGGTTTAAACAAGGAAGTTACACAGTAATTGCAGGGTACTTACAGAGTACATACAGAGTACCTACAAGGGTCCAATATATTTGCATGGTAACTACAGAGTACAGGGTATTTACTGTATACATAGAGGATGTGGCACATACACGGTACTCACTTGTACGAGATAACTTGGGGGTACTTACAGAATAATTACAGGGTAACATTTTGGGGCAAAGTTGAGGTATTTACGGGGTACTTACAGGATACGCTTCATGGTTTTATTACAAGGTATTTACGGGGTACCCTCACAGTACTTCCAGGTACTGGACTGAAGAGACTTGGCTTTGCTTCATGAGCTCCTCTGTTCTTCCCACGGAGAGACTTTTACTAAAATGTTGCAGTAAATCTGAGATTTTCTGCTTCAAACTGAACGTTTGTAGTTTCTGAGCCTGAAAAGATGTTTGTAGTTTTTCTCTTTGAGGTAAATAAAGAATCACGGTTGAATGGAAATAAACCCTCGCCTGCTGTTTGTCCTGCAGGCAGAGAGCCGAGCACCAGTGACGGATCTGTAGATGCCCAGCCTGTAGCCCGGGCCTCCCGGCAGCTCTGACACCCTCAGGATCTCCTCTCTGGCTCGCGCTCCTCTGACCCCGAAGCTTCTGGACCCCCTCCCCCTGCAGTCGCCATGGGAACCGTGCTGTCCTTGTCCCCCAGCTACAGGAAGGCGGCTCTGTTCGAGGACGGGCCGGCCACGGTGGGCCACTACACGGCCGTCCAGAACAGCAAGAACGCCAAAGACAAGAACCTGAAGCGGCACTCGCTCATCAACGTGTTGCCATGGAAACGCATCGTGGCGGTGTCGGCCAAGAAGAAGAGCTCCAAGAAGGTGCAGCCCAACGGCAACTACCAGAACAACGTGTCCCACCTGAACAACGAGAACCTGAAGAAGTCCCAGTCCTGCGCCAACCTGTCCAGCTTCACCCAGGACCAGAGCACCCCGGCCCTCACCAAGACCTCCAACAACGCCCCCTCCTCGGTCAAAAAGGCCCCCCTGACTAACTCCAATGTGGCCCCCGGGACCCCGAAGAGGGTGATCGTCCAGGCCTCCACCAGCGAGCTGCTGCGCTGCCTGGGGGAGTTTCTGTGCCGGCGCTGCTACCGCCTGAAGCACCTGTCCCCCACCGACCCGGTGCTGTGGCTGCGCAGCGTGGACCGCTCCCTGCTGCTGCAGGGCTGGCAGGACCAGGGCTTCATCACACCCGCCAACGTGGTCTTCGTCTACATGCTGTGCCGTGACGTGGTCTCCTCCGAGGTGGACACGGAGCACGAGCTGCAGGCCGTGCTCCTCACCTGCCTCTACCTGTCCTACTCCTACATGGGCAACGAGATCTCCTACCCGCTGAAGCCGTTCCTGGTGGAGTCCTCCAAGGAGACGTTCTGGGACCGCTGTCTGTCCATCATCGAGCTGATGAGCGCCAAGATGCTGCAGATCAACTCCGACCCGCACTACTTCACCCAGGTGTTCGCCGACCTCAAGAACGAGACCCAGAAGGAGGAGGAGAGGAGCCGCCTGCTCATCGGACTGGACCGGTGAGGGGATGCTGGGGGAGGGGGGGGAGGGACTGTGGGAGGGATGGCACTTTGACTCCATGAAGATTCGTAGTAAAGCCAGCAAACACAAAAATGGCTCCAACTCAGCCAGTTTTACAGACATGGAGCTAAACTTTAGCGTGGTAGCTTCCAGCGAGTGCACGCCTACAGCTGATTCACTTTGTAGTCAATCTGATTCAAGATGGTCGCCATTACCATTTGACATTGAAACACACACAAATGTCCACAACTCCAGCAATTTTAAGCTCAAATTTGATGTGCAAGTAGCTGAAAACTTCCCCAACACTTAAAACATGTAACTATTAATGTTAATCCTGTTTGTTAGCAAAATATCTCAAGAACTAGTGGATAGATGTGGATGAAACAGACAATTATTGGCTGTAGATCTACGACAAAACTGGAGGCAGCTCGATTCAAGACGACCACAGCTAACAGACAACTGGGGATAAACCAGTGGATTTTGCAGATTCTGAGCTGGACTTTAGTCTGGTGGCGGCTGAGAGTCGTCCTCGACACATGCTCCGAGCGCGGCCCGCTCGGGTCACATGATCGTCTGAGACGGCGTTAATGTTCCAACGCGACAGTTTGTGCCGCCGCTTCAGTGTTTGAACAGGTTTGTGCTCGCAGGCGATAAATTACCTGTAAACGTCTGGTTTGGGTGAATCTTTGCCAGATCTTATAATTTAGATGAAACGTAGAACAGCAGCATTGAATGTGGACAGAGCTGAGGCTGCAGCCCCCCCACCCCCACCCCCAGTGACCTTGTGACTGTTTGACTGCCTCCTGCAGGAGGGTGAGGGCCATCGCCTGACTGACTTCCTCCACGCGCCACGGATGAACAGGCATCCACCCCCCCACCCCCACTCCCGAGCCGGATCATCCCTTCCTCCTGGTTTTTGCTGATGCAGATCGGACCACCTGAGGACAGAAGCGCCGGAGCCGTCAGACGATGGAGCCTCGACTTTTTGTTCTTTGTGGACGACCGGAGGGACAGTGAGCTGCTTCTGTGGGAGTTTGGATTTAAAACACACAAAAAAGAAACAGCCAGTGGATGTACATCGTGTGTTCAGAAACTTTATTTTCATCTAGAAAAAAAAACCCACAAACGTGTAAATGGATGTGTTTGTTTTTATTTTTTATTCTTTGGAGGGACGTTGTGTAACCGTGTCAATAAAAACAGAATGCAACGAACACAAACCCACGTTTTATCAGAAAACACCAAATGCGGTCCAAATAAGAAATGGCTGAAGGAACTTTTCAAAAAGTCGGCGAGAGGACCGGGTCCAGAGAGAACGTTTTAGACGTAAAGATGGGCGGGGGTTCACCTTAATGGGAAACCGTCTCATCATCAGATTAGAAGTCTGTAGAAATCTTGGATCTCGAAAGATAATGTTAATATTTGATGGGCCCTCAGGGGCCACTGCATTAAAACCAGGTCTGGTTCTGCTCTGGGCTCGGGAACACCCCCACTGGTCATTATCTGTAAACAGACAACATTTGTGCTGAAGATGGGAGAAACCATTCAGTTTTATCAAACGGTTGCTTCTCTAATGGTATAGGGGTGCATTAGTGCCTCTGGCATGAGCAGCTCGTACATCTGGAAAGGCACGTCAGTATAGTTTATACATCTGTTCCCGTCCAGATGACGTGTTCTTCAGGGAAGGTCTTGCTTGTTTCAGCAAGACGAAGCGTCCAGTCCAACCAGGTGCTGACCCGTCCTCCCTGCAGTCCGGACCTCCGCCATCAAACTCAGATTTACCTCGTTTTTCCAAAACACGATTTAATTTCTTGGTTTCAAACAACAAAACCACGTGTTTATGTTTACAACTCGTGGCATTCTGGTTTTATTTACACGGCGTTCCATGTTTTTTTCAGATTTAGGCCTGGATTTGCTGAAACAAGTTTTCTTTGCGTTTTTAAAAAACAAATATTTATTTATTAGAAATGTAACATTTTGCACGTGTGCCATGCAGTTTTACGGACTCTCCAGGAGCGAACTCGACTTTTTACTTGATTTGTGAATCAGCTGTGAACAAAGTAACGTTTCATTTAGCTCTGCTCGCTGAAATAGGCTCATGGTTTACCAGGGACGTTCTTGTTCCGTCGTTTGGAATGCTCTTTGGCTTTTACTGTTTTCCTTTGTGCTCATGATTCAGCGTTGGAAATGTTACAACGGTGCCATATCTTTGATGAAAACCCCACAGATCTGAGAGAACTCGGATATTAAACTGTTTTAGGACCATTTTCATCTAATTTTAGCTTCCTGCCATTGAAGTGTTCATTATTTTTGGCACCTTCAGAGGAATTTAAAGGGAATACAAGGTGTGCTTATCTTTGATGGGAATGAAGATTGATCTGGTTTATGTCCATACATGTTGCAGGGATTTGTCATTTAATGTGAAAAGGCCCTTAAGATCAAAACCGCAGTCAAATCTGACCATCATCAATGTGGCAACCTCAACTTTAAGCTTCAGAAAACGTCCTGAAGAGGTTGTTTTTGCTCTGATTTAGAACCCTCTCACATATCAGACTTTAAAAGGGGAATGAAAAACAAGAAGAGCACAGAGAAGCCGGAGGATGATCCACAGATTATCATCTTTGAGTAAATCAGCGCGAGCTAGCTTCTTGGTTCTGGAGGAAACGAGGCGACCTCCATCCAATCAGAAGCTCCCGGGGGTCAAAGTGACCCGGTGCAGCCTGCAGAGGAGATCTGCAGCTTTTTATCGGATTACCGAACAAGAAGCACCAAACGGGAGACGCCTCTCCTCTTTGCCGTGCTTTGAAAACCCAAAACATCCCGAGTGGGTCCGACAGTTCCTCAGAAACGGAGACGTTCTGATGTAGATCAAAGGGAAACGCCTGCGTCGAGCTGCGAGGACAAACAGGAAGCAGGGATCCCTAAATCTGTCCCGGCTCCGTGAGATGTGCCATGCTTCTTCACTTGCATCATCACAGTTGTTTATAAGCTCATAAAACTTAGAGACTGAAGCGGTAGATTAAAAACTTCTGTCCCATTCTTTTCTGTATCTTGTTGTGTAATTTGTAGATAAAAGAGCAGCAGTCAGAGGGCTGCGTGAGCGAGTGGATGTGTGTTCGGACCTTTTATTTCTAACAAAGAATGTTTTCTTATAGGGATAAGGAGCAAACAATGCACCTGTGTTGTTGTTTTTTTTAAGGACCCGCCCCCCTCCCTGCTGTAATTTACTTTTTTGATATGTTTCTGCTTATTTTAATTTATTTTTGTACTGTGATGGAAAAATAAAAAGCACTGATCGTTCTGGAGGGCTTTTTGTCCCATTTTGTGTCGCTTTCTCACACAAGAGGCAAACAGCACATTAAACACACGTCGACAAACTGTTATACAGCAATCTGTAGCAACGTCTCAGAGCAATGACCTTGTATAACCTTTGACCTTGATTTGTGACCTTGACCTTAGAGCTGGGATGATAAAAAGTGCGTCGCTCTGTCTAATGATGCATAAATTTATAACATTTTACTTTCTTCAACGGATCAGACGTTTTGAACGGGACAAGCAAATACTTTAAATTTGACCTTGACCTTTGACCTTGAAGCAGACAGGTGGAGCCTTTAGACGGGCGTTTCAATTGAGCACCTTCCTTCATCTGAACTCGTTCGTCTCATCTTGACTTTTGGTTTCTGCTCCACAGATTTTGGGTCCAAACCACAGAACCGTAGTTTGTTTTTCTTGACGTCGGTTCCACACGGACACGTTTTTCTCTCGCTTGGACAGAATCCAAGACGAATGTTTACGAAACATCGACAAGCTGACAGTTTGTTTTCCTTCAGCTCTCTGACTGACGGCGTTAAAACCCGCAGCTCGTCGAACAGCCAGCCGATGACACGGATCAGCCGCATCGGCTGGATTAGAGATGCGGTTTCCACGGCAACGCTCGCCTTTATCCACGATTCGCAGCCCGCGGTTTGTCAACAGTTCGCGTGAGGTTCTGTTAGTAACGTTCAGGCGAGAGCTGCTCCTCTGAGCTTTGACAATACTGGAAGCACTTTTTCTTTTTAGGCTCCAACAGATTTGACTAAAGCAACGTCCACCCCTTTAAACAGGAAGAGCTTCTTTCTCCCGACTCCCTCGTTCATGTAACCATCCGTTCACTCCTTCATCCGAGCGGATTAGAGGCGTTCGCACGTGACTCGGTCACACAGCTGTTAGAGGCCGAGCGCCGTCTCGTCACGAGCCGACGGTCGGACCGGCTTTGACGTCAACAGAACATCCGTGTTTCCACTGAATGTAGGTTAAAGACTCAAAGAGCAGCAGAGAAGCAAAACATTTATTAATAAACTGATGAATGAAATATTGGTCAGGACGAAGCGTCACAAATCGTACAAAAATAATAAGAACTGCACAAAATGAAATCATTACAGCATTTCCCTTTCATAGTTAAGAAATACCACAAAATATAAACTAAATATAAAATTAGGCACTTATTGAATAAATGTACATTAGGATTTTACTTAAAGCCACAAAAACAAAAACAATAAATGTGCTTTGGCTGGTTTGATTACCGGGACTGGGACAAAACAGCAAACAGAAAATTTCAATAAATCATAATAAAATAAAAAGACAAACCCAAATATTTTACCCTTTTTAACCGTTCTGAGCTCGCAGAAAACTTTTATCGATACGGGATTTGTTTTTCACATCAAAAGCAACTTTTTTTAAATAAATCAGAGTTTTTTTTAATAACCAGGTGGAACAAAAACAACTGTTTGTTTTGAATCACGAGGACTTCTTATTTTAATCACTATTTATTTTGAGCCTAACTAAGCGCTGTTACAACAAATGTGTATTAATACGCTGCAGAAAATAGTCCCTAAAGTCGAACTTTTACGTCTGTTTAAAGGTACTCATAGTAAAGTCACAGACTGGTCAAAAATAAATAAATAAGAAACAAAACTCTCGTTTTTAAATTAAACGTCTGTAAGCAAACTTTGACGCCAACGACCAGCTGAGTTTGTTTCCCTACAAAAACAGCCGAAGTGACTGAAAACGGGTCAATGTGGACGTCCCCAAGACGCATTTGGGACCAACAAGTATTTCACCGTGTTGGAAGTCGGCAGATAAAATGTTTGTTGACGACGAGCGCAGTCCCGCATTTCATATGGAACTCTACTGAAGCAAACCGTTTCAAACGTCACTATCTTACATGGGTCCAGATAAACTCCTTCAATGGTTAAGGAGCGGGGACCTTTCAGAGGAAACGCAGACCAGCTGTTTCAGGCGACTTGTTTGAAGATTTTAGTCTCGGAGGACGTCAGGAAGTACGAAACCTTCAGTTCGGTTGAAAACGAACCGACTCGTTGACGTTTTAAACCAAACAGAACGTTAAAGGCGGTTTCTCCGAGCGTCATTCCTGAGGGCGTGTCCAGCTCGTCTCCACAGCCGATAAAACATTTTGATTGAAAACGGCAGCAATAAGAAAATAAACTGAACAGGTAGAGGACCAAAGAGGAGGTGTCAGACTTTAAAAACCTCCAGCTTAAGAAAAAATAAAAGCCTGGGAGCCTGAGTGACGCGCCGACCTTCAGCTGATTTAGCTGTTACAGCTAAAACACTAGTTTCTGTTAAAGATGCATCTTCTTTGATTTAACTAAAGAAACAAGGAACAAATTGTGTCTTTGTGATCGCCTGCATGCCAAATAAATTAAAATAAATCCCGTTTAAAACGGGTTCTTTGTTAAAACGATCCGTTATGTACGACGGAGCTTTAGGACCACGCTAAGAAAAAAAAGTTAAAAGCCATAAAAATACAAGAATAAAGTTTTACAGAGACTTTTTTATTTTTTTGCAGCTCTCATTAGTTTTTTTCCACGAGTCAGATCCATGACACGACCTGTCAATCAATCCAGTAGGCGTGTCAGCAAATGACCAATCCGAAGCTAAACGCTTGTTACCTGCAGAGCTGTGCTGCAGACCATCACAGCGTACCACCTGACTGTAAGATGGTTCAAAGTCCTGATACTGATAATAATCTGAGGAGCTAACAGATTAACTATCGCCTTATTTGTTAAACCAACACTAAAGTACAACTTAACAAGATGCTCAACATTCTTCATTTTACCACAGTTAAAATGGTAAACCAGATTTATGTGTCGGAGTTCAGATTATATTACGACTCGGCTTCGGATTGGTCATTTGCTGACACGCTAACTGGATTGATTGACAGGTCGCGTCCTGGATCCGACTTGTGGAAACAAAAAGAGAGCTGCAAAAAGTCTCGTACGACTTTATTCTTTAATTTTACGGCTTTTAATTTTTTTTTTCTTAGCGAGGCCCTAAAGCTCCGTCGTAGTTATGTGTCGACGTCACTGAATAATTTAAGGATCAAAGTTAAACAAAAACCGTGAAAACGGTCAGGAAGTCTGCAGAGGACGAGTGGAAGGGCGGCCGACTTCAGGAAGTCTGAAGAACTTTTCGTCACGATCACGTTAAATGTCTTTAGAAGGAAACAAACAGCAGCTAAAGGACGAGTCAGGACTTTTAAAGCCATTTTTCTGGTTTATGCAGCTAAACACAAACGTCCTTCAGCCCATTTCAACTAAACTCTCCTGAAAACTCCCGAGCTGCAGCGCCGACAGCTTTTATTTATTTACTGCAGAACTTGGAACAGAACACGACGGAACGATCTGAAGCAGCGCGGCTGACAGCTTCAGGAACAGCTGGAAACGTTTCGGCTTCCTGCTGGAGGACGACGGAGGAGCGCGCTTCACCCAACACGACGACGGAAAGTAAACTGGGGTCATCAGGGACTAACAGAACCGTCAGGGACTAACAGAACCGTCAGGGACTAACAGAACCGTCAGGGACGCTTGTTGCTCAGTCTCACAGCTAAAACGAACTGGAAATAGATCCTGGAAACGATCGTCTTGGTAGGTTTTGCTGTCTGTTACTCAGTTTTAGCCTCAATCTAAACAGATTACAGCAGATTATAGACTTTTACCTTTCTGTAGGAGCAGAATGAAGCAATAATGCAAAGAAAGAAAAACATTACAGTCTTTAAATGATTGGTTGCATTAATTGGTTGCTCTGTTTGGAATATGATCAACATATTCAGACGTTGGCCCCGCTCCATCTGTAAACATTTCATCAACTAAACGTGGACATTCCAGGTCCTGCTCTTTATTCTTTAGATAAGACTTTAATTAATATTTCTTTTTTTTAGAGTAAAAAAATAAACGAAAAGTTTATTATTGCTTTAAAGCACATGTGCTTAAAAATTAGGATTTTTCTTTAAGGTTTCCTCTTTGATCCGACACGGCGCTTCAGGGATTATAATTCCTATTGAAGCCTCTGTTTTTGTCCTATTATGCAACATTATTGGTTGTGAGATTAAATCAGGAATAATCCGCTCCCACCTTGACTCGCAACAATCAATCTGCACTGATTTAAATATTGCACAAAGCAAATCAACTGAAAGCTGAGCAAAAAAAAAAGATAAATCCCACTTTGGTGGCTGTTTGGGGCATGCTTTGTTAAATTTGTTAAACTAATAACCTCTTCTTTAAAATGAACATCCTCTAGAAGTCTGCAGAGGAGCTGGAGTTTGGCATACATTAGGAAAACGAGGATTTAATCGCCCCAATCCGACAGAAACACAGCAGCTCTGCAGAAAAACAAAAAACAAAAAAGACGTGGTGTGAAATCAGCTGCTCTGGTTTTTGGCCCACTTTAGTTTCCAGGAACGTTCAGGATGTAACCGGCCCGGCTCTTGGTGAAGTCTGGCTGTGATTGGTTGATCTTGGACTCGACGACGATCGTGCACTTCCTGCCGTTCAGGCTGCACTGGATGGGACTCGCCACGTTCACCTGCAGCTTCCTCTTCTCGCTGCGGAGACACCAAACATAAAACACAAGGAGAAAAAAAAAGCGTCAGAAAAACATTAAATCTGATTTTTTCTTCTCGCTCAGTCGTAGTTTAAGGCTCTGAAATCAAACCTGCAGCTTCATGAGAGCAGAGCAGCAACTTGATGCTTTTAGGCCAGAAATGATCATTTCTGTAGAATATCATATACATCTTCAGTACACAGATCTTATTGTTCCCAACAGAACACTTCGCTCTCAGACTGCAGGTTTATTTGTGGTTCCTAGAGTTTCCAAAACCAGAACGAGAGGCAGAGCTTCCAGTTCTCAGGCTCCTCTCTTGTGGAACCAACTTCCAGTTTCTTCTGTCTGTGATGCTGAAACATTGTCCAGTTTTAAGAACGTGCTTAAGTCTTTCCTTTTTGATAAATCCTACAGTTAGGGTCAGCTTGGGTTTCCTGAGCTATCCCTTAGTTAAGCTGCTATAGGCTTAGTCTGTCGGAGGACACACTGACCACATTTCCTCTCTCTGCTGCTGTCTTTACTTGCTCTACTCTACCTGTTTGTAATTATTTCCATTTTAACATTTTTTTCTCTTTCCACCTATAGAAAGTACATTTAGGCTATAGAAACCACACCTGGACTATAGAACGTACACCTGGGTTATATAATATTTATATGATTATTTCCTCTGGTATCGGATGCAGTGCAGCTGGAAGGAATTTATCCGAAACTTTTTTTACTTTGGGGCATTTGTTATGATGCGTAACCATGGCAACAAGGTGTTTTTTTAACAACCAGGAGCAGCTGATTAACATCTCAAAAGCTGAAATACCTCAACTACAGCATCAAATCCCAAATGAGTTGGAAAAAGAGGCTCCGCGGACGAATTCCTGTCAACCTGACGGCGGTGCTCGAGTGCCTGACTGCAGAGATTCTGAAGCTGGTGGGAAACTCAACTCGTGACATCAGGAGGACCGGGATCTTCCCCCGGCACCTTCAGCTGTCCGTCTGTGGCAACGAGGAGCTCTGCAGACTGCTGGGAAGAGTGATCATCGCTCAGGGAGGAATTCTGTCCGGCATTTGGGCAGTCCTGCTGCCCAGGAGGACCAAAAGGCCCGCCGGATCTGACAGCAAGCTGGATCTGGGTGGACGGATCGGTATCTGTGGCCAGATCCTTCAGATTCACTGCAGGAGATCCTTCCTTCCCACAGCTATCAGCATCTAACAACTCTTGAATGAAACCAGGACGATGAGCTACGACAACACTTAATTTCCCTCTGGGATTAATAAAGTATTTTTGAACTGAATTGAATAAACCACACCTGGACCTGTCATTCTGTGTCTGTTTCTACTTCCTGTCCTCTCAAACCCAGCCGGTGGAAGCAGAAGGCTGCTCGTCCTGAGTCTGGTCCTGCTGGAGGTTTCTTCCTGTTATAAAAGAGTTTTTCTTTCCACTGTCGCCTTTGTGCTTGCTCAGCATGAGAGACTGTGACGAAGTGAAGATCCAACACAACCTGCTGCTTCTTTAGATAGAGAACTTTACTTTTTTACAACTTATGTTGTGATTTGGCACTATATGAATAAACTGAATTGAACATAATGAATCTAATAAAGACAAACAGTAAAATATAAAATACTGACAGACTGTAATATTTAAATATTAAATTTAAATTATTTGACGACAAAAATTGTCACTCAACTGCATTTTTGTTTAAAAATCAAGACCTCAAATATTTTTATCTTGCTCAGCTGTTGGCGAAAAACACTATTCCAAACTGTCTCAAAATGCTGGCGAAGGTTTTCGTTTTCCTTGGGTGAACATCAGGGCCTCGTTCTCGTGTCCCAGGAATTTTGAACATGTTCGAATATTTGGCACGACAGATTTTCTTTCAGATCGTCGTCGCGGTCGTCTGGAGCCGGGGCCAGAACCTTCTGTGTGAACTCTGTAAATCTAGAGTGCTGGAGATGTTCTTTTTTTTAGCAATAAGTTTCACTGGAAGTTTGCACTAACATGTCATGTAGTGTGATTTAAAATGAAAATTCACACATTTTGTTGCAATGTTGTGTCTCCAGCTGCTCCCTAGCAGTTGCAGCCAAGTGAATTACTACCTGACGTGTCCAAAGTGGCCTAAACGTCCTCTTTAAATCCATCATTTTATTCCTCACATTTCTGCAACAACGCAAAGCAGGAAAGGAGCAAGGCTCATTCAGAATCATAAACACGCCTACGTTATTAAAAACTACTACTACTGATAAGTTAACAAACCTGATCCGGTAACTTGTAACAAACATGCAAACAGTTGGTCGTGCCGCTCGGGTATAACTGCAGTTTAAACCAAAATAAACGGGAAGTTAAAGTTATCCACCCTGCATCTTTAAATCAGTGTTGTTAAAACACATAGTTGTAAATAAAGATTTAACTACTGCGCGCATTGCTAAAAATTACTTATTCAAACCTAAACTGTCTGGTCCAGGTCAAGGAGCCAGGAAAAAAAAATCTGCCTCAAAGCAGCGACTCAGAACCCAGATCCGAATATAAACCATAATCTGCTGGGTCTAAAACGCCTAAAAGCCACAATAAGAAACTCCAAAACCAACAACTTTGGTGCCAGAGCAGGATCCTGTTTGGTGGTTCTCTGTCGGAACAAAGCCAAGAGCATCAGAAAGAGAGATTTATACAAATCTTTGAGCTAAAATGAGCTGCTTGTTAAAACGAGCCCATCTGATGAAAAGAAAACGACTGCAAACCGTTTTGACACAAAGAACCAACAGGAGCTGAAGAGGAACAACATCTGATCTAACAACAAAAAAGGTTGAATCATGTCATCTGGACTTCGTTTTTTTGTTAAAAAGAAACGTTTCGCCCCTCATCCAAGAGGCTTCATCAGTCTGAGGCCTAGCCATCTGGTATTACCCAGAAGCCACCCTGACTCTTGTGTTCCAAGCCTGCCTCAGATACCCCTGAAGTCTGGCCTTTTCACTAATGGTTTCAAAAACACAAAGTTTGTTTTCTCAGTCATCCAGGTATATAACAACAAAAAAGGTTGAATCATGTCATCTGGACTTCGTTTTTGGACATCTGATCTAGTAATACAAGTGGGAGGTAAAACTAAAAAAGGTTAAAAAACAAAACGATTAACTTCTGTTCTGTAGCTGAAGACGTTTCGCTTCACGTCCAGGAGGCTTTATTAGCTCTAGAGATATCTGGAGTGTGAGGAGGTCCAAGCTTTATACAGCTGCCTGGTTATGTACTCTACTCAGCATCTGTGAGGTACATCATCTTCTTCTTTTGAAGACCACGAGGAGGGAAACGTGTCGGGAGACAGAGGGAGAAGAGGAAAGTCAAAATGTAGGACTGATGGTTTCAACTCTAAATGTGGGGACACTGACGGGCAAAGGTAGAGAGCTGGCTGGCATGATGCTGAGAAGGAAGGTAATGTTTTATGTGTCCAAGAGACCAAGTGGAAGGGCAGCAAGGCTCGCAGCCTTGGAGCAGGGTTCAAACTGTTTTACCATGGTGTGGATAGAAAGAGAAATGGAGTAGGGGTGGTCCTGAAGGAGGAGTTGGTAACGGATGTAGTAGAGGTGAAAAGAGTGTCAGATAGGGTGATGTGTCTGAAGATAGAAGTAGAAGGTCTGATGCTAACTGTTGTCAGTGGTTATGCTCCACACATCTGTTCCTTAATTTAAAGGAAAACAACTAAATGAGTAATAATGTTGTAAGGAGGAGGTGCAATAAAACAAGATGATAAAATATTAAAGAAAATGACAAGAAACGTTAGAAGATACTTTATATTGTGTGTAGATGTCTGAGGCAGCGCAGAGTGACGGATCCTGGCGAGCAACTTTATCCATCACCAGGTGTAATGGAGGAGCCAGGGGGTGGCCAGTGGTGGTCTAGATTAATCTTGGGCCACCACAAACATTGGAGGAAACTATACTTTTAAGCAATATAAAAACAGAAAGCAAAGATTCCTCAAATTATAGCGGTAGTTGGTTTACATAAGGTGGTTACCATTTTGGCAACACAAGTTTCAATAGTGACTGTTCCAACGTCTTGATGCAGTCACACCAAATCAGATGTCAGTACCTCACTTTTGTTTCTCTCAACATGGACAGACGGACAGAGGGTATTTCTCTTTTTGCTCCACAATTGGGGACGATGAGTTCAGGGACGTCCATGAGCTCTTGATGAATATACAGTATGTGTGTGTGGAGCTGTGTACGACTGGTATATGAACTGTAGGAGACAACAATGCTGTATCTACAGGTCATGTCTCCTCACAGACTCTATGGGATTCAACTGAAAGGCTGAAACGTGATGATTGCTGTGGAAGGAATGACCCGCACTCGGCTGCTGGGCTGGTTTTAGAGGCTGCCAGATCCAGTCAGCTCCTCTCGCCCAGTTTGCTGTTAAACTGGATTGACGAGGGGACTCAACGAGGCCGACTGCAGCAGAGACGAACAGGGAGGCGGGACAGAACGTGAATCTTACAGGAGCTCGGACCAGAGGGCCAAAGCCCGACAAACATCGGCTTCAGTTCAGCCGAGTGCTCGCTCTGACACACTTTCCAGGTGACTCAGTTACTCATGGTGTAAACAGTCTCAGTTCTTATGTTGCCCTCCGTGCCTCTGGTCCAGGTCAGTTCTGAACCTGCTGACACAGACTTGTTGCACAACGACTACAAGTCGTAAACAACGAGAACGGGTCTGTCTGCTGTCCACGCCGCGCTCCTCTGCAGAGCGTGTGCAGCTCTGTGGCTCACACAGGGAGGAAAAGCCTGAGGTAGCATTGATGCTGGTGTCCATGGCAACCCCCCTGCCCCCCCACCCTGAACTTAACTCCCCCATCTGTCATGGCTGCCAGCCAGTGGTACAGTTTTCTTGTATTTTCTCTCACGGGTGTGATGTGATAAGTCTCTTCAGTCTTTCTCTCGTCCCGGTCCGACTCAGAATAACCAGAGGGGGCCACGGAGCTGAGCTCTTCCTGACAGGCAGACAGGCTCAAACACAAAATAACCT